ATATATATATATATTTCAAATGAGTAGTCTAGCTAATGCACTCAAATTTAAATATGTGAATTATCGATTTATTAACAATGGGAACATTTTTTTCATTCTGCGAAAACTGTTTATATATAACATTCATGAAATCCTATACTTATTATAGATAACGAGTATAGCGAATATATATATATATATATATATATTATTCTTAAAGATATGGTATGACCTATACATTGTGTAACTATCGACTCGGTTTAGCTAATGCCTAATGCTATTTAGTGACGCGAATACATATATTGCGAGGAAGTAAATAACTTTGGGAAATAAAAATTAAACCAACATAAAAAGAAAAAAGAAAAATACACCTATAAAAAATGGTCTACAATGGGGATCCTTTTAATTTCTTCCATATCTTTATTTATCCACTTTTTTTTGTTGTTGCAAGTCACATCAAATTTAGGGGTTTAGCATAAAAAGGAGATTATAATAAAACGGACGGTTTTAATTTTTTATTTTCCTTTGTGATTAAGCATCCAATTTTGATTCACAGAAATCAAGAAGAAACTATGACAAAACTCACGAAATCGAATAGCAAGAATCATAATATATATATATATATATAAGATAAATTAGTGAGAAGTTTAATGTATTTTTTTTTTTTGGAAATATGGGTCTTCTTCCATTTATAACTAAAGCCATTCATTACATGCGCGTGAAATTAATGAATAAGTTTCTTTAAAAAATTTATTTCGGTCTAATTTGTGTCAAATCCTAGAATATCTAAAAAAACTGTTACGATATAATCTCGTTTATATTTTGTTTTGGGATTGCTTTCACTTATATTGTAATTAAAAAAACAGTAATCACCATTGATGTCCACATTGTGTGTGGCAGTGGCAACATTACGCAAGAGGAGAATTTTCTCATTCCATATATATAATCCTTGGGGTTTATATGCAGAATAATATAAATAAATAAATAGTGACCTGATTATAAAATACTAAAGATTTATTGACAAAACCAAGTAATATTGTTGAATATTTCAAAATCATTTCGTAATCAATAGTTACTAGTGCTGTAATTAGCAGAAATGTAACAAATAATATTGTGGAATAAATAATTGTACAAATATATGTATATGTATATATATGTTGTTAAACAAAGGCCTTGCGTTTTTGTTATGGTTATATTAATTTCATTAAAATTCAAGTATTTTAATGATTTCCCTCCGCTATAAATTACCCCTTCATGCTATTCATTTCTCCACACCAGAGAAAAACAGTACAGCACCTTCGCTTAAATCATATTTACCAAACCAGAGAGAGAGAGAGAGGGAATGGTGCTGTTGAAATCTTCGCCTTCAAGGCTACACTCACGCCAGAGCTTATCCGAGTCTCTAATGGAGGGCAGTATACAAGACTCTGAAGCCATTATAAGCCGATGGACTTCTCCCGAACTTCACGACTCTTCCTTCTGCAGCCTCTCTTCGCTTTTCTCCCCAGGAAACCAGGAAGAAGCCAATCGCTTCATCGAAGCTGTAACCAGCTTGCAATGCGGGATGCAGAGGTTGGTAAAGATGAATCCGGGATCCGAGATGCTTGTCCGTGCACAGAGCTTGATGAGTATCGCTATGAAGCACCTGGAGAAGGAGTTTTATCGGATTTTGAAATCGACTAGGCGGTCCTTGGATCCGGAATCCGTCTCTATTCGTTCTTCGGGAGCTTCGAGCTCGAGCACTCCTAGGAGTTCGCGTAAAAGCGTTTCAGACTCTGAGTCGGATGTAGAATTTGTTTTTTCAGTTTCCAATGAGTCGAGATTGGAGGGCGAGAGAGGGGGTGAAGATGCAAATGCCATGGCGGACCTGAAGATGATCGCGGATTGCATGATCTTCTGTGGATATAGCAAAGAATGTTTGAAGATATACAAAAAAATCAGGAAATCTGTCGTCGTTGAAGCACTGGATCATCTCGGGTTTGAGGACCTGAGGTTTACACAGATTCAAAAACTGGAATGGGAGATTCTGGAGAGTAAGATTAAGAAATGGGTGCGGACGGCGAGAGAAGCAGTCGCTACTCTGTTCTTTGGAGAACGAATTCTCTGCGACTATGTCTTTTCATCTTCTTCCTTCATCCGCGAATCCGCTTTCGCGGAGGTCACGCAAGAGAGCGCTTTAAGCCTGTTTGGCTTCCCGGAAAACGTAGCAAAATGCCGGAAATCTCCAGAGAAAATCTTCCGTACACTAGACGTATACCAAGCGATCTCCGAAATATTCCCCAAAATCGAGCAAGTTTTCAGCTGCGATTCAACAGTCGCTGTCCGATCCCAGGCCGTTGAATCTCTATACATTCTCGGAGAAGCCATACGCTCGATGATTTCAGAACTGGAACTATCGATTTCGAAAGAGCCATCGAAAACGCCGATCCCATGCGGCGGAGTCCACCACATCACCAGGTACGTCATGAATTTCATTGTCTTCCTCGCCGACTACACCGGATCGCTCGCCGACATACTCACAAAGACACCGCCAAAGCTACCGGAGGACTACTTAACCGGCGGCGGAGAAAACCCAACTGGCGCCACAATCGTCTCCTCGCCGGTAGCCACGAATCTCGCCTGGGTAATCCTCGTCCTGCTTTGCAAAATCGACGCCAAATCTCGGCTCTACAACGACGTAGCGCTCTCGTATCTCTTCCTGGCCAACAACCTCCATTACATCGTCGTCAAGGTCCGTACATCAAACCTAAAAGTCCCGCTGAGCAATTGGGTAACGAAGCACGAGGATAAGGTGAGAGAGTACGTCGCGAGATTCGAGAGATTGGCGTGGGGAGACGTAATGACGTCACTTTCCGGAGTTCCGACGGAGGAGGAGATATTCCGGCGGTTCAACGAGGCGTTCGAGGAAGCGTACAAGAGGCAGAGCGACTGGGTCATACCCGACCCGAAACTCAGAGACGAGATCAAGGTCTCGGTGGCGAGGAAACTGATTCCGGGTTACTCGGAGCATTACAAGAGCCAGCGGGTGATGTTGAATGCAAATGTCAGATATGCCCCTGAAGATATTGGTAATTACATCTCTGATCTTTACTTTGGTTCTGGAGGAGCAGGAGGAGGAGGGAGTACTTCGTCTTTTTGCTCTTCGAATTCATCGTCCGGATTCGAACGTTGAATATTATATACACGTATATGTGTTTATATACATATATAAGTAGTTCCAAGGGGACACGTACGAATAGAATCAGAGTCAGGAAAATATATTATGTTGCGTCAGTATTTGTATGAATTATATGAAATTGATCGCCTATATATATATATATATATATATAAACTAATTAAAATTATCCAAATAATCTAATTTCTAATGTTCGGTCATGTGAGAAATAAATCGATGAACTCTCATCTCGGCTACTCTAAAATAGAATTACATTTTAACAAAAATAAAATAAAACAACAATTTCTCCAATTAAAAAAAAAGTGCGGTCTCATCAATTTTTACAAGTGATACAAAAAAAAACCATACATTTCCCGACAAGACAGCTAAGCAATGTTTTGGAGAGCGAAACAAAATTGAGATACATTATATATTGTATTAGTTAGGGATGTATTTTTTTTTGATAAAATATTTAGGGATGTATTTTGATCTATAAGTAAATGTAAATTCAATACCTGAATGGGAATTAATCCTATAATCCTCTTGCTTGCTTACAGTCAGAACGTGGGTTTTATATATCATCAATAAACTTTATTCCTTTATCTATTTGCAAATTCATTAAGTTTTTACTCCATTTTTAAAATCTATAATCTCCACGTCACCCGAAAGATATCCAATTTTTCTAAGAAAAAGACGTTCTCTAATACCTACAAGGTGAAGTAGAATGTTATATTAAGAAATCTCTTAATTTTTTATAAGATATATATATATATATATATATATATATATATATATATATAAACAATATTTTAAAAAATAAATAGTATTCCTATTATTTTCAATAATAACCGATCTATATTTTATTTCACTTGATATATTCTTATAAACTATATTTTTTATTTAAAACCAAAATAACATGTTTTTTAAATTATATGGAAAAACATCCCATAAATCATTATATAGATCCTTTGGATACATTATTGAATCGGTTTAGATTTTTTATATGAAGGGCCATTCTATCCATAAACGTGTTTAGATTAAAGGGAAACAAAAGAAATTAAAAGCTGATTAAGCACCTAGAGGCTAGAGGCATGGTGCGTTAAGTGGGTGTGTTGATATTGAGATGTGAGAGTTGCTAGGAAATGCATAATATATTATATAATAATATGGAGACGAAAAGGAGTCCATAATGGCTTGCTTTTCATTTCTTCATTACGCCTTTTATTTATTTATTTATATTGGTACATCAGCACACAAACTAATACTAACATGTATCAAAAAATTAATAGCACATAATATGATTGATTAATTAATGATTATGGCAGCGAACGAAACGAACGATAAAGTGAACAAATGGTTGAAATCTATTGAAAGAGTTTTGTAAGGTCCAGAATTAAATGAGAATTTAAAAAACGCCCTTTTTCCAACGAACTAAAATTCGAAAACCCATTAATTTAATCAATTGTACACATTAAAATTGGAGCATCATGATTTTTTTTTAAAAAAAAACTCAATTCAATATCTTTTAGCTCATTCAACAAAAAAAAAAGGTATATATTTTTTCAGTACACGTCAGCACGCCGGAAGAGAATGGCTTGTGGAAAAACATTCAGAGAAAACCCCCTCAATTCAATCTCTTTTACTCAGAAAAGGGAAAACATCCACGTGGCAATATTAAATAAAAATATTTTTTGCAAGAAACATAAATAAAGATGTTGAGAAATCATTATTAATAATATCTTATCTTCGAGATTAATTAAATTCGCATACATTATATAGCATTTACGTTTGTAATAAGGCAAAGTAATTGTGATACATAAAATCTGGTTTTGGAAAAAAAAAACAAAAATAACATGTAAATATTAATAGGTGAATAATACGTATCATTTAGTATGAATTATTTTTGTAACTGGCAGTCAACTTATTATATATGCAATAAAGAGGCCACGTTTATTTTTAGTTTGCGTTCATCAAATTGCAGATCGTTGATTAAACAATGATAATACAGCATGCAAATGGCATCCCCACGTGTTTAGTGGTTCGCAATCAAGTGATCCTAAAATCTTTTATCAACCGGAAAAAATAGATTACACGATAGTTAGAAAAAGGATAAGGATAAGATATATATATATCGATTAAAATTCTACGGTTTCTACAATTTAAAAACTATTTTAAAACAAAATAATTTTAGAATTTTGAATTTGACATATATACCAAAATATAATTTTCATAGTCTAAAAATCAAATGTTTAGGCGGGAATAAATGTAACAAATAATTTAAAAAAAAAAAAGAAAATAAAAAAAGAGAAAGATAAATGGTCGGTTATCCGCGGAGTTAGGTGGACTCGAATCTAACCAGAGTGAACGGTCCAAGATCCATTCACCTGAATTCGTAATTTTGCCATCTCCGTCTATAAATACCTCTCCTCTCCAATGGCTTCCAAACAAAGAGGAGAGGGGAAAAAGAACGAGAGAGAGAGAGAGAGAAGGATGATGCTCTTCAAAACAACGTCTTCTCTATCACGACAATGGACGAAATCACGCTCACACCAGAGCTTCTCTGAGTCTCTAATGGCGGATACTATTGTATCCGCTGAAGCTATCGTAAACAGATGGATTTCACCAGAGCTCCATGACTCTTCCGTCTCTTCCTCTTTCTGTACTCTCTCTTCGCTTTTCTCCCCCGGAAACCGCGAAGAGGGGAGACGGTTCGTCGAGGTCATCGGCAGTTTGCGATACGCGATGCAGAGTGTGATGTCGGTGAATCCAGGATCGAAGAAGCTGGATCGGGCGCAGAATTTGATGCGGATCGCTATGAAGCACCTGCAGAGGGAGTTTTACAGGATTTTGAAATCGAATCGGCGGTATCTGGATCCGGAATCTGTCTCGGTTCGGACTTCGAGGGCTTCCGATTCCACCACATCCAGGTGTTCAAGCAGAAGCGTCTCCGACTCTGAATTGGACGGTGAATCTGACTCATCGAACTCTGATGAGTCGAAATCGGAGAGCGAAAGAGGAGGTGACGACGCGGATGTCATGGAGGATTTGAAGATGATCGCGGATTGCATGATATCTTGCGGCCACGACAAGGAATGCGTGAATACCTACAAGAAAATCAGGAAATCGATCATCGTTGAGTCACTGGACCGTCTGGGTTTCGAGAATCTGAGTCTCTCGCAGATTCAGAAACTGGACTGGGAGATTCTGGAGAAGACGATGAAGAACTGGTTGCGGACGGCGAGAGTCGCGGTGACGACTCTGTTTTGCGGAGAACGAATCCTCTGCGACCATGTCTTCTCGTCATCCGATGTCATCCGCGAATCTTGCTTCGCCGAGATCGCGCTGGATAGCGCTTTATCCCTGTTTGGCTTCCCGGAAAATGTCGCAAAGTGCCGGTTAACTTCCGAGAAAGTTTTCATAACTCTCGACGTCTACCAAGCGATCTCCAATCTGATGCTTCAAATCGAGCTCGTTTTCAGCTACGGTTCGACCAGCTCCGTCAAGTTACAGGCGATCGAATCTCAATCCAAGCTCGGGGAAACAATTCGATCCATGTTGGGGGAATTCGAGACCTCGATTTCAATGGAGTCGTCGAAATCACCGATCCCTGGAGGCGGAGTCCACCAGCTAGCGAGATACGTCATGAACTTCATCGTCTTCCTCGCCGACTACAGCGACTCACTCGCCGGAATTCTCACCACCGAGACGCCTTCAACCTTACCGGAAGACTTCTTCGGAGGAGGTGGAACGGAAACAGCCGGCGCCGTCGTCTACTCTCCGGTGGCCACGAAACTGGCATGGCTCATCCTCGTCCTCTTGTGCAAGATCGACGCCAAATCTCGGCTGTACAACGACGTGGCCCTCTCGTACCTCTTTCTCGCCAACAACCTCAATTACATCGTCGACAAGGTCAGTACATCGAACCTGATGGTGGTGTTGGGGGAGGACTGGGTGACGAAGCACGAGGAGAAGGTGAGGCAGTTCGTGGCCAAGTGCGAGAAGATCGCATGGGGCGGCGTGATGACGTCACTCTCCGGCGAAACGGAGGACGCGGAGGAGATATTGCGGCGGTTCAACGAGGCGTTCGAGGAGGCGTACAAGACGCAGAGCTCGTGGGTGGTGCCTGACCCTAAGCTCAGAGACGAGATCAAGGTCTCCGCCGCCGGGAAGCTTATTCCCGCCTATTCCGAGTTCTATAAAAATCAGAACATGGAAAATGTCAGATTTGCCCCCGAAGATCTGGGGAATTACCTCTCCGACCTCTACTTCGGCTCCGGTGGATGTATCTCGTCCGACTCCACCCGACCAAGACGTTGAGTCTTGAGTTGAGAGTGTGTTGATAATTTAAGTAGATGGTAATGCCAGCTAGACAGCACGTGCGTGAATTAGGAATATAATTTAAAAAATCTTAATATTATGTAAATACAGAGTGGAGGACGGCCCATTGGATAATATTTTCTCTAATTATAAACCCAATTATATTCCTCCTACAAAGCCTGTTATCGGCCCATTGGATTTTTCTTTTCTTTTCGTACCAATAACTTTCCATTTCATTTATATTGCCACGTGGAAGCTTAGAAACTTCCATCCATCCATCCATCCATGTCTCTACGTGTATTTGTAAGAACTCGACGTATTTGTATAACTCGTCGTATACGGCGGAGTCATGGTACATTGCAGCGTGTGAGAGAATATCTTTCTGGCCCCTCTTGTCAGAGTATTTGTATGTTTTGTCGGGAAAAAAAGTGTGTTGCTTTTTTTTTTCTTCCTATTATTGGATAATTAAATGCAAATAATATTATCCATTCCTTACTATTACTATATTACGATGCCCTGAAAACTTGCTCTTGTGGTAAAATAGTTGATTTGCCCTTCTATGTTTATAGTTACTTTTATATGTCTCGTCGGTCGGGAATCATTCGTTAATGATATATACATATTTCTCTCCTAAATTTATTTTTTTCTATCCGCTAATTTTGTTATATACTCGTATATAATTTAACAATATAAAGGTTTCCTTATGCGGATAGTATTATATATATATTGAATGAGTTTAGATTATGTCATTGTAGATAGGAACGCGTATTTAGACTTTAGTTATATTTATTTGATTTTTTATCATTTTCATTTTGTGAAAAATACATATATAGTGTTTGTATTAGTATTTTCAGTTAAAATCTATTTGATTAATTTGACTCTCATTTTTCCTGCAATTAATAACCATTTTCTTAAATGTTGATATATAGTACATTTGATTTAATTTTAAAAAGTAATAATTAAATAATTTTAAATTATTTTATTTAAAATGCATTTATGTATTTGGATTCAGTCACATATCTTACATATTTTATGTGTAGGAAGCAAAATGCCCTAAGCTAATCTAACGTGGACAAATGAGAGTGAGATGCGTTGACTTATTATTAGTATTGTTTTAAATTTTACCTTGGTAGCACGGCGCGTCGCCCTCTCATTAAATTGCTGAACACCAAAATAGTTTTTTTTTTTCATGAAACATCAAAATTATTAAAAAAATGGAATAATAATACATGTGGGAGGAAAAAACGATATGATACTTTGAATTATTCATTTCTAAAATGTTATCGCATAAAGGAAAATATAAAGAGTCGAACTAAGGGATAAACACGAATTAAATTTCAGCCACCTAATCAGATTATGACAAAACGGAAGATTTTGTATAGCCATTGACTACCGATCCATTATAATTTTTTTTTCCCACTTTTTGTTTATATAATATGGTTCTCTAAAAATATTTGGGATCCACTAGTCAAGTTGTATACTACAATATGTGGACTTATTAATTATGATCACCTAATTAAAGATGATACTCTCTTGAGGAAAAAAAAATCAAACTTTAAAACTAATTAATTTTATAAATTAAGTCAATATATTATTATATCTATGATTTTATAATGGATCATGGGTTCGATTCTATCTTCCAAACGAATTTGTCATCTTTTGGATAATTTATCTGTTTCACATGATTTACAAACTATTAAGTAGTGTCGGAGATTTATCATCGCATTCAAAGGAATGTGGTGAATTTCCATCGTTACAAAAAAAAATTATGTAAAATGAAGAATGTAGTAAATTTATCACTAGCTGATGATGTATATACATTTATAGATTGAACATATGATAATACTTTGGATCTAGAAGAAGTATAACTGATGATCACAGGGATGAGTGGAAATTATATCTTTGTTTAGATAATCATGCATGCAATGTGATATTTATGATGAGTGTGATTTGATTTTATTTTCAATGACAAAGACTTTGTTACAACTGCAAATGGGAATGGCGTTGACCGATAGAGAGAGGGTTGACTCCTCAACTGTGTTGACAAAAACAAGTGATTCCGGACCTTTCAAGTACCTTTGTCATTTATTAATTTATTTCATGGGTGCAATAATTATTTTGCCATTTTTTTTGTAGAATATAAATAAATATATATTGGAATTACAAGCTACGACTTTTAGAAGCTGAACCAAATTTCTCATGCAATAAAATCCGTCAATTTAATCAGTCACCCTCCTCATCACCTAAAAGTCAAAACATATCCATAATGTCGAGGAGTCCGTCTTCAAAGAACTCATTATTATATTTTTATTTTGTGTATTTTATGTTAATTTGTCCATCTACCTATTTTTGACTGCATTGATAGTTTAACTGCCAACTAATTACTACCTTAATCATTAATAACAGTACTTACTTATGGTAAAGTAACCAAACGACCAAAAAAAGTCTAAGAATTAATTAGTTTTATTAACCACGTAACTATCAACTCAGTCATTAAAATAATACATGTACTTTTTATTTTATATATATGCACCATATCGAGTTAATAGAAAAATTAAAAGACATTAAATTAAATATACATATATTAAATGTTTTTATATGTTTATTTTCAAGTTAATTGATGTGGATATTGAAAAAAAATCCGAAAAAAGATTCAGAGATTAAAAAAAAATATATCCCCTAATTTTTGGTTTACAGTATATAATATTGTTTCATATCAAATTGTTATTTTAGCTCTATTTTAAAATTAGATAATCTTTTAAGTTTTTTGAAAGTAGTGGAAAGTATCCTCTATTAAATATTGGTTCGGAATATGTAGTACCACATGTCAGATGGAATAATGAAAAAAAATTTGAATCGTAGGATAATGTAATGACGAGATGTTTAAATGCATTTGATGGATGAAAACAGAAAACTCCAAAAAAAAAATCTACTATATGAATATTTTTTCAAAGAATTTTAGTTATATTTTGACAAGAAACCAGAATATTTATAGTATAGTATTTTCGATTAAGTATTTAATATTATACGTAAAAAATATTTATTGATATAAAAATAGCATTAATTTTATGTTTCGAAAACGTAAAATGTGAAGTGTATACCATTTACAACCACTAAATGGTTTCCGAAATACATTGGTATATTTTCTCAACAGTTTAATTCAGTCAAGCTCCATGCAGAGAAAAACAAGCACCATGACAATAATGATGAAATATTCATTTTTATATTTTCTTATTTATGATATAAACCTATATAAACACATAAAATTGTTTATGAATAGAATATAGAATATGATAAATAAAAACCATAATATATCATTTTATGATCCCCTCAGTATTAAAAGGTAAGAAACGTTATATTATATTATATGTACATAATTGTTCTTAGATTACCATTTTGTTCATCGAGTTCGAGAACAAATCGAATAATTAAAATTTTGTTTCTAAAATAAATAAAAAATCGAACCTGGAAATGAAAAATAATGGAATCTGAATCCCGAAATATCCACCCATAATTGTTTCCAATTAGGGCTGGACAAAGTAAACCGCAACCCACACACCAAACCCTTTTATCGGGGAGAGAGAGAGAGAGAGAGAGAGAGAGAGAGAGAGAGAGAGAGAGAGAGAGAGAGAGGAAGGGAGAGTGATGATATTTAGGTGAAGGAGAAGAGAAGAGAACGTGTACACGCACAAAGTGTGAGTAAGCGTTTAATTAAAGCTCCCTTTTGTAATGAACACGATTCCATACACACACACACACCAAATTCAGTTGGTGGAGGATGATGAGTCTTCTCTCCACACGACACATGATATCACCACTCTCATGCATTGCACATATATATTCCACATCCCAATCCTTTATATGATCTGAATCCACTCACGAAATGCCTTTATAATTATCCCAAACTTCTTAAAGATCTAACATTTCAACAACTATATATATATAAGAAATTATCATCCTTAATTACATATATATGTATATATGGTGTCTTGTGTTCGGTATGCATACATTATAACCAATGAATTCTCCATTCAACATGGTCTTGATTTACGCATATAATAAGATTTAAACAGTCAAGTCAAGATCAAAGTTGAATAATCATCATGCCCTTTATCAAATTATATATTCTCTATATATGTATCTGAAAAAAAAAATTAAAAGGGTAGAAATTCGGACTAGTTGGTTTGGTTATATACAAAGTCAAGAGCTCGAGAGAGCTGTCTTTTCGTGTTCCTCTGTCTTTCTCTTATATAACCCCTTCGCAATCCTCGCCACATATACATGCACATCGATCTTATACCTTTCCCCTTCCTCATAACTCCACCACCACACACACACACACGCAAAGAAAGGCAGAAAGAAAAATTAATAATGGACCTTCTCTTTCTCTGTATGTACTCTCTTCTCGTCTCCTACCTCTTCTTCATGATCTGGAAACTCATAGATTCCAAGCGAGACCAAGAATGCTACATCCTGGACTACCAATGCTACAAACCCTCCGACGACCGGATGGTCAGCACCCATTTCTCCGGCGAGATCATTCGCCGGAACCAAAACCTCCGACTGAACGAGTACAAGTTCCTCCTCAAAGCCATCGTCAGCTCCGGCATTGGAGAGCAGACCTACGCTCCGAGGCTCGTCTTCGAAGGCCGTGAAGAGAACCCCACGATACGCGATGGGATCTTGGAGATGGAGGAGTTCTACGCCGACTGCGTCGGGAAACTCCTCGAGAGGAACACGGTCTCGCCTCAAGAGATCGATGTTCTTGTCGTCAACGTCTCGATGCTCTCTTCGGTTCCTTCCTTGTCGTCCAGGATCATAAACCACTACAAGATGAGAGAGGACGTCAAAGTTTTCAACTTGACGGGGATGGGATGCAGCGCCAGTCTCATATCCATCGACATCGTCAAGAACATCTTCAAGAACTACAAGAACATGTACGGTCTTGTCGTGACGAGCGAATCTTTGAGCCCTAATTGGTACAGTGGCAACAACAGATCGATGATCCTTGCCAACTGCCTGTTCCGGTCGGGAGGATGCGCGATGCTGATGACGAACAAGCGAAGCTTGAGCCGGGGAGCCATGTTCAAGCTCAAGTGCATGGTCCGTACGCACCATGGCTCGAGGGACGACTCGTACAACTGTTGTATCCAGACAGAGGACGAGGAGGGTCGAATGGGTTTCCACTTGGGCAAGAACCTGCCCAAAGCCGCGACTCGAGCTTTCGTCGACAATCTCAAAGTAATAACACCCAAGATCTTGCCCGTAACTGAACTGTTAAGGTTCATGCTATCTCTCATGGCGAAAAGGCTGCGAAGAAACTCTAGCAAAGGCTCGAACGCGTCGAATCTTGCACCGGCTGCTCCAAAGGCGGGGATCAACTTCAAGACCGGAATCGAACATTTCTGCATTCACACGGGAGGAAAAGCAGTGATCGATGGAATAGGTTACAGCCTGGATTTGTCGGAATACGATCTCGAGCCTGCGAGGATGACGCTCCATAGGTTCGGGAACACGTCGGCAAGTAGCTTGTGGTACGTTTTGGCGTACATGGAGGCGAAGAAGAGGCTCAAGAGAGGAGACAGAGTGTTCATGATAAGCTTTGGAGCTGGGTTCAAGTGTAACAGTTGCGTTTGGGAGGTTGTAAGAGATTTGGGCCATGACGATGGCGACGGCGATGATGACGATGGTAATGTCTGGAAACATTGCATAGATAATTACCCACCAAAATCTATATTGAACCCTTATTTGGAGAAGTATGGTTGGATCCAAAACGAGGATGATCCAGACACTTTCAAGTTCCCAGACGACCAACCACGCGATTAATTCCTTTGATCGCAAACTTCCAAAAAAGGATTTTTTTTTCTTGTTTATCTTCTATGGGTTTTTGTACTTCTCTTTTCGTAAATTACATTTTAAAGAATGGCTGAAAAGAAATTAATATGAGTGGCAAATATATTATTGCGATTTTAGGTAGTTTTTTTTCTTTTTTTAGTCATTTTGTGTTATATTTTTGTCAATTATTTTCCCCCTTTTTTTATGGGTTTGATACGTTTTTAATAAGCAGAGGGGGCATGCATTTCCAATGCGATGCGAATTACTGGATTTTCCATCCTATTGGAATGCTGCCTCTTTCTTTTGGGTTATATGTTGTTTAGTTTTCATCTTTTTTTTAAAAAAAACTATATGTCATTTAAGTTTAAATATTTGTCTCCCTTTTATATGCTTGTACTGTCATCTCAAATTTATTCATGCGTTTCATTCTAGTGATTTTATAACCGTTGGACGATGTGAAATGTTATATGAATAGAGATATAGTTTGGTGCATTTATACCATTTGATACTTTGTAAAAAGAATATGTACATCATATATAATCAAATTGATCAATTTCAAAGTTTTATAAAATTCATGAGGGGGGAGTTGATAGAATCGAAACTCAGCAGTGAACATCTTATCAGAATCCCAACAACTGTCCTGATTTTGTGTTTGAGGTTTTATTACATGATACCGTTTTTTTATTTTATTTTTTAAATTTAATACTTAAAAAAAACATAAATGCAGAGATTGAACTAAAAGGAACAAGGTTCGGTAGGCAGAAACATTCAATAGGCATTTGATTTCGCCACCAGATTCTGGGCCCCACGTTTTCTTCAATCTTTGAGATTATCGCTGGTTACCCTTTTTAAACTATACTCTTCTAATTAATGAGCAAATATTTGTTAATTAATTAAATATCTTTACGGGTCAATTAGATGACGCGGTAGTTGTCTGTTTTATAGCCTTAAACCATGCTTTGTAATATGGGACAAAGTATACATCACAATCAAAATGATTTTCGGCAATATGAGACTATCAATACACACACACACACATATATATATATATATACACAAAACACGAACACACATAAATAGGATTGCCCTACAATGTAATGAAGACTGAATATTACATGTAAATGTATAACCGAACAAGTTACATTAAAACCCCATTGTTAGAAACAAAGAATTTAATATATGCCCTCGTAATAAAAAAAAGAATAATATATTACATAATTTAAAAAAGACAACGATATAAATTAAGGGTGAGTTAAAAAACAAAGGAGGGATTAAGGAAGAACATTAGAACAATAAATGGCAAAACGAAGTTTGGAAACAGCTAGTGACAGCACAAACAATAAATAAATGGAGCGGTCCATGAAACCACATTTCTCAAATTTTTTTTTTAAAAGATTAATAATTTATGACAGGCTGACGCACGGTCTTCTCTCTCATTTATTGGGGCTTCCTGTATGTCTGACACGTGGCATCTTTAGATACCGTTGTCTCTCGGACCCAGTCAAGATAACTCGACGGCTCCGATCTATTCTTTTTATTTTCCCATGTATAGAATGTTAGCATTAACTCATTTCATGTGTTTTTATGTATCGGCACATGACAAAAAAAGACGTGCACATTAATAATTTAATATATATAAATATTTATTTTGTACAAATAAAGTGCTATATAGTTAATATGGAAAGTGAACAAATTTATTAAGAGAAAAATTGGGTGACAAAACCTTAAATTATTTTTTGGTCCTTTTAATTTTTAAGTGATGTATATACACGTAAATTGAATTCCAAGACAAAAAAAAAAAAAGGAAAAACGCATAAAATAGTATAAATTCAAAGGCAAAACAGAATAAAAATACTGCATAAGGGTTTAGGCCGACGACAAATTTAACAAGAGAATAAGGAAACACTTATTGGGCCTATATGGGACACTACAATTTTTTATACTAACACTTAATGAGCCCAACGAACCTTGGTATAATTTTGTTATTGTATTCTAAATTTTAATAATTTTTCAGGTTATAGTCCAAGATATTGGTACTCTGATCTTATATTCTAGTTTTTATTACATCATATAATCCATTATATTAACTCGGATATGATATTTTTAAATTTTGATATAGTGGTCAATTTTATTTTTATGAATCATGAGAACATAATTTGTGTTTTTAACATGTTATGACCGTTATCTGCTTTGTAGATTTTCTTTTGCGAATATTCTAACTCTTAGACTGTCCAATACACATTAATTAACATTTTTATAAGCAAAATATTTCCTTTATATGTAATGTTTATTTGATGGAAAATTAATTGAAAAGATAGAAACGTAGAATTGATGCGACGAAGATCGGTCCGTAAGACAAACAAAAAGAGAAATAAGGAAAAAAAATAAGAAATTATTAAAAGATTAAATTATATAGATAATGGTGAATAATACTCTACTGATAGCGGTGGTAAAAATAATAAAATTTGTTGGTTTTATAAAAAAAAATTGGAAAATAAACGGGGATTTACAATGATTTTACCATTTTATGATTTATACTTCTTGGCGATCTTCTCTGTCTCTGGCAGTTTTGTTCTTAGATTCTCGTTAGCTTAAGCTGTCGGCCCACGAACGATGCGTATACTTTACGCGATCCCTCACATCTATATGATTCGGCTTTGGGACTTTTGCCATTTATCTCCGCGAGTTGTCGTTTCCCTAATGGATAATGAAAGAATACAGTGGGCTTAGAATTATTAAAAGAGGATGGATATTTTCCAAATAATGACAATAAATTATTTATCTTTGTTAGAACAATAAAATAATATGTGAACCGGTTTTTGTCGTTTTGATATTTCACCCATGTGATTGTGCCACGCTCTATCTCTCTCTCACGCGCGCGCACGCATATATATATATCTGCTGGGTTCGACTCAAGATTCGGTTTTGTCAATGTGCAAGTCGGAACAGATAGTTTGCTATATGACCCACACAGGCGGTTAACCGGACCGGCTCAGAAGACTGGGAACCCCCGAAGTGGCCGAGATTTTACTGAAACACCGCCGTTCCAAGTGCCATGAGCATCAAACCTCCGGCTCGGGAATTCGAGCAGACTGTGAGCGGCACAAAAGCACGAGCATACCCATCAGATAGAGGGCGACATGGGCCGGATACCGAGATTTTAGGGTTATCTAAACCCGAATGTCTCGGATCTCACAAAAATATTATCCAATCTTGGAAAAATGTTCATGGGATTGCCAAATATCTCGACAACGTGATAAACCCGATCACTATCACCGTCGTTATGATGATCACGACCATGGCAGTTGCGAAGATTTTCACCGTCCCAGGACACTACATGGACAACCCGAGTGAGATGCCGAAAGGGCATTCACTCACTCGGGGAAGCGATCATGGCCACGGCGTTTAGGGACAAGGTGCTACTGGGTGATAATAAAGCACAGGGTGGGTGATGAGCATAAGAAAAACATCGATGAACAGCAAGGTGAGATCATGGGCGATGTTTCGGATTCCGATCAACAACGAGTTCAAGAAAATGAAGGAAATCTGGCTGTCCCCTGCACCAAGATCACATCACTTCTGTATATCCGAGGTTTTATAAGAGTTTGAAACAAGCAAAATCTCACCTTTCACTGATCCAAACCAAAAAAAAAAGAATCCTTGAAAATGAGAGCTTTCTCCATTAGCACCAGCCTCCTCTTTTCCCAGAGCTTCCTAGGTGATGCTCGGAACAAGTGAAAATCAATCAAAGCTATATAACCTGATAAAGGGATTTGTATTGATCTTAAACTATTTTGCTCTCGAGAACTTTGGCTACATGGGTTTGACGAGAAATGTTTCTAGATGTTTTTTTAAATGCTAAGTTCCAAAGAAGAAGAAGAATACATGCCGCGAACTGCTGGTATCTGTTCTACGGATTCCTCACCGATTGACTTACACGACAGGAGATTTACATCATAAATAACCGGAAAAAAAGGTAAGATAGTTTTACTCAATGTTGAGGCAGGGATGGTCTCTTTTCCAACATCTCGTAATGAAGAACAAAATTTTCCTGCATGAAGTGTTTTTGATTGGATGGATAAATCTTTGAGAGAATCAGATGGAGAAAGGGGTAGGGGTAACGAGCGGACCCACCTTACGGATGACTTCAAATGAATTTGGATCGAAACAGTGATAAGATCCTCGCTCGTATGTGTTTGTCTTGACCAGAGGTTCCCCTATTCTGATGAACCATGACTTGTGTTCTTTATGGTAGAACCACCCTCTATTATAACTGCAAAAAAGGACCTAGAGTTCCTCAGTTCATGTCATGGTAACGGTCAGCAAAAAAAATTATTCAAAGAGCTAGCAAGTTCAATGATTCAAATTAAGAAAATTCTTCAGGAATAACAAAATCAAGAAAAGGGCATACAGTTCATTTGCCGCGTATAGTTGTGCTCCATCTTTCGGCATGCTGCAGGAGAAAGACAAAGGCGTGATTATTAGTTTTCGAGGCCACGAATTCGTCAAGAAACAAATAGTTGCAATTCTCAAAAGGAGGAAATACCTGTAGAATATGTAAAACAACGTTTCTACTGAGAATTTCGCAAAGTACCCTAGCTGCATCCACCAGAAACAAACGGGAAGACAATCGAGAGGGTTTATTTATAAATCAACGGTCACCTAAAAATCACGTGGGTTAGGAGGGAATAGAGTCGGTGGCTTACATGTAGCGGTGGAGGACTCTTTGCATAATAACAATGGGGTAAGCTGAATTCTGGATCTCCTTTGGCAGGTTCATTGGACCAGGGGGAACCAAAAGTTTTATGGAGATTTTCTGTCGAATTCAGATTTAAGCCCAACGTCGTTAGATCAATCCCAAGTGCCAGAGATGTCAAGTCAGGATCGCTGATCTTAATCACACTAAGCAAACCAAGCAAGCCAAACCGATCAGGATTTGACTGTGTTGCTTTAATCCCTTGATCTCTGAACGATTGGCCAACAGCTGACATTTGCTGCATGCGGAACTGGGCCGGGTTCTGATGTTGCTGATATTGCTGGATTAGCTGCTCATACCCCATCCCAGAAACAGAATTCAGAGAATTCATAGGTCTTAATCCAATTCCCGGAGGTCCACCAGTCTGAAACCAATCAGATAACATGGAGCTTCATCAAATAAATAAATAAATAAATGACAAACGAAACTGGTCCACTCTCCTATTCTACACGAACCCTCGATGAAATTCCAAGAAACAACTGGTTATTGCAGAGAACAAACTTTATCATACCTGAGAGTGGTACCCCGGATGTGACGATGTGAACATGTCAGAGCCATGTAAGGGGACACTACCGCTACCGACAGCTTGAGCAAGTTGTTGCTGCTGCTGCTGCTGCTGCTGAGGACGATGTGATGAATATGCTCCTCCTAAGTTAAACCCAGCAGATCTTCCCATCTGCAAGTAGCAGCAATTGAGGATGATACTACAAACCTTGTAAACTAACATTGGAAAGGAGGAACGAACCCAACGTCGTGTTTTGATAAACTAGGACTCACGGGTAAATGCTGAGATTGCATCATTGAAATAGAATTATCATGGAGTTGTTCTTTCTGATGCAAATCCATTGGATAATCAGCATTACTACCTGTAGAAAACCTATTAATCCGGTCAAGACTATGCTCTGATCAGAGATCTACTTACAATAGCAGCAAACAAAGGTCATCTATAAAACCCTACCAGAATGCGCGATTATACCCGAAAAGTGAAAAATAACACCAAATACACACAAACGAAAGATTATTGAAAATTCAAAACGATAGGCCATTTTATTCTGTAAATAAAATGGGATTTAGAGACCTTATCAGAACTCCATGAAGGCCGTAGAAGGAGAGCATCGCATAATAAATTAAAATTATAAATAATCCAACTGTGACACTGCCGTAGAATCAGACTCATTGAATCCATTCAAAGCCAGATAATATGTTTCTGCGTGCATGGTCAACTATAGAGTGAGAAACCTCAAATCTAATAACACAAGCACATAAAGATGCCAACTAAGGGGAACTTTCCTAAATCCAGTTGGACCACAGAACGGAACGGTTTAATAATTGCAGATAAACCAGGGGACCTTTATATCCAGGTAATGCCGGAAAATCTTCATTTTGGATGCTGAACTCTTGATTCTGTTGGACGATGGGGCTGACTCCAAGGCCTTGTTTCAATCGAGACCCTGATTGTTTTAAAGAGGTTATCCAGTCATGAATAAGTCAAACCGATCATAGAAAACATAAATGAAGGGCTTTATGACTTGCCCAATTGTCCTTGAGGACCGCCAGAAGAGTTAGGGCGGCTTGTTAGCTGAGGAAAATCATTATTTATATCAAACGGAGAATTCTCATTAGGGTTCATATCATTCAGCATCCCCATGGAGCTCAGATTGTTCATTGCTTGAACATGATTTTGGGAAAGAGGACCACCAGCTGTGGGGTAGGAATTTCCCAGCATGGAAAGAACCTGCGAAGATCCTGGAGAAAAAGGTAAAAAGATACAGGGAAATCTTAAATGATGTAAACAGAAACCAAGTTGGAAAAATTAAAACCGAGAATAAGAGGATTAATGATGCATGAAAATGATCTCGAATGACGTCAGAAATGGATGCAAATCATGAAATACCTTGCGGAAGTACTCCACCCATGATCCAATTTTGTCCTATATTTCCGGATCCACCGTTTGCTGCCAGATTTAGTCGAGAACCAAGACCAGGCACAGATAGCCCTCCACCAGAGCTTAGAGTCCTGCCCATGTTGCCTCCACCAACCATATTCCCCATAGAACTAGCTATTCGAGAACCTGCATTTCCCAAAATTGGGGAAACTCCCAATCCTGGAAAAGTATTCTGATTACCAATGGCTACAGAGGTAGGAAGAGTCCCAGGAATAGAACCACCAACTCTATCAGGGTTACTAATAAATTCAAGGTTTCACATACTGTTTATACCTCCTCTATTTGCGACTCCAGAATGCCCATGAGAGCTACCATGAGATAACTACAAGAGAAAATCCGAAGGCAGGATTGACGTAGGGCCATAAAAGAGTATTGTTATTTCATATCTATATCGGCAGATGGTCAACGCATATGCATTTCTGTACCTGAGAAAGCGCGACTGGAAGATTATTTGACGCAAATCTTCCACTTGAAAGACTTCCATTTGGTTGTTGAACACCAGCAGAGGGAACAGTATTTAGACCCGAATTTCTAGACCCGGGGGTACCCCCCATGTTGGGGACATTAAAATTTCCGTGCAGGTTATGAAGGCCCTGAATAGTTCCTGTAGTAAGAAAAGAACGAATCTAAGCTCAAAAATAACTCTGAAGGCAAGAACATCGGAAAAATCTACCCACCGGCATGATGGAAAACTGGAGATGCTGCTCCAGGCTGGCCAGAGAAGGAAGAACTAAAAGATCTCCCTGAACTGTCTTGTAAATTCGAGGCAGATCCGTTTATTGAGGACTGCAAACCCAATAGAATCGCCATTTATCAGACGCACGAGAAGCATGCGTAGTTCCAGAAGCTATGTCAACAATTGAAATAGTGCACCGCAACGAAACTGATCTAAGATAGAAAGCAATACATTAAGTAGGCTTGACATTTGCACAAATTATCAATTCGACATGCAAAATTTCATTCAAAACTAAGCAGTAGCCCTTCAGTGAGCCTGGAACTGGAGCTGGCGGGCGATACTTGCAGATTATCGGTAGAGCAATTGCCTGAAAAAGCGATAACACGGTAAGGCAGGAAATTCCGAAAACTACAAGCACAAGAAATGAAACAGGCTCGAATCAGGCACAAACCAATTTATTCTTTTACCGAGTTAAAGTCGATCTCTTATTACCTTTTTTGGGTTAGATTCACATAAATAATCTCAACTTATCGTAGACAAATGATTCATATACACAGGAAAGACACCAAACGCCTATCAAGTTGCAAGCTTTGTAGCTCAGAAGAGTTGAAACATGACGTAGAACAAACTCTCGACTTACCAAAATGACAAATCAGATCCCAGAGAGACTTGATTCACCTGTATAAGTCCCCAAGACAATATCAATATTCTTACACTGTAATTTGACATAAACAATAAATACACTATAACTTCGAACATGCATTTCCTAGCATCTGAAGGACACATTTACATCAATGGCACCATCAAAACCGTCGAAAACCCGAGAAATAAAAAAATCGAAAATGGATCGAAAAATTATCGGTCTGCTACCAGGGCAACAAAGCCCCGAGAAACCTAAATCCCTCCCATAAAATTTCATATCTCCAACAATTCTGTCAATAAACTAACGCGGGAATAAGAATCGATACAAAGACTAATCATTCCTTCATCGCAGAAAACGAAGTTCGAAAGGAGAAAAAAGAACCCTAAATCGCTCAGATTTGGAATCTGCGTCCAAACGCAACAGCACCTGCTAGGATGAATCCAGAAACTCCAATCCAGAAGCTCGGGGGATCGAAAATCCGAGAGATGAAGAAGAAAGAAATCAAGGGATATTTTTTTCCCTCTTTTGTAGTAGTTACTGAATTTTTTTTTTCTCTCGTTTTCGAGAGTTCCCTAAATCCTTGGGGTTTATATGCAGAATAATATAAATAAATAAATAGTGACCTGATTATAAAATACTAAAGATTTATTGACAAAACCAAGTAATATTGTTGAATATTTCAAAATCATTTCGTAATCAATAGTTACTAGTGCTGTAATTAGCAGAAATGTAACAATATAGTTTTAAATCTTTTTCATTTTATTATCATATTTTTATGCCATGCCGTTACAATAATGCTAAGACGACATGTTTGGTGGCTTGTTAGTCGTCAAGTGTATGGAGCGACGTCGTTTCAATCCAATTAAAGACTACGCCTAGAAACGACGGCGTTTTGGTCTCGTTCGTCGTTTTGTGCGGGGGGGCGTGTCATGGTCCACACGGCGCCGTAGGTCCACCATAATTATAAATTCAACTTATGGTAATGCAAAAATGTAGAAGAATTTGTATTACTCTAATCGAAAATTTACATCCAGTCAATGACTGTATACAAAAGGAACCTATGAGCAAAAGGTAAAATTAGAAACAAGCTATCAAAAGCTATCGAAGGATAGAAGTGCAACCATTATGGAGGTCTCAAGTACCGAGTGAGGTAGTACCAATCAGCTAGCAAGGTGGAGCTAGTAGCTGTTGGATTACACTTGACAGAGAGGAGGATGTTGCGCATGATACGATCGACTTTCCGACGCAGATGCAGTGCAGTATGGCTTGTGCCTCGGAATATTCTATGGTTTCTTTCCTTCCATATTTCATATATTGAAATCTGAAATAATAGCTTGGCAATTGTATTTCTTCCCCTCGACAAATCATTTGTCGGGTTGTTAAACCACTCCATCATCTCCGAGATTGTACGGAAGACGGGGAGAGAGAGAGGAGAAGATTGGAAGCCATTGGAAGGAGAGTTGTCAGATGTGCAATAACGTTCCATTCTCTCAGATTGGAATTAATTTATTATTACGTAAGGCATGTGATTAAATGATATTGTCGGTCCATTAATCTGTTTTCAAGCACTAACGACACTTTTTTAGATACGTAATGAATTTTGCATCGGCATGGACCCTAGATGCGAGATACATTATATATCACACTAGAAAAAAGGTCCAAAACACATTATATATATATATATATATATGTATGGAATGAATATATGAAAAGAAACATACGGAGAGTATCGCCGACCGCAAAGGTCTTGCTACTAGTCAAGGAGGTGTAGTCTGTCCCGAGCGACCAGCTGACCGTGACAGTGGTGGCCGAGGAAGGTGCGGCCATGGAAACAAGAACTAGCTAGGTTTAAGTTTACGTAGATATATAGCAGTCTGCAGCTACGTACACATGTTTTGTAACAACCCATTCAAATGATACTCGCAAACAATATATACATATATACACATACAGATAAATATAATCGGATTTGGACCATCTTAGTACCTCTTTGTAAGTTATTATTATAAGATCCATAGAACAACGTATATGTTTTGCGATTTGTGCATATCATTACTGAACTTATAAAATAATGATCACTGCTATTGTTGAGATACATCGAATATTGAAGAATATTACGAGATATATCGTATAATAGAAATCTTATCAAATTTGAAAAATATATATTTAGAAATATTTATTATTATATCCATCTTATTTATTTAATAAATATTATTTTGAGATTGAATAAAAAATCATTCTGCAAATTTCTATAGGTATTATATTATATATGTAACAAATGGATTATATATATATAATTTTTGGCTTGTCCTTGTATTTTAGAATCTGAGATAAGATTAGCACAAAAAGATAAGGCTTTATACTAACGCATGTTAGATATTAACAATTACTCTAAAATAAATTAACCCAAAATAATGATGATGAAGAGACACGATTTCTTCATTACAAATCATTCCCTGATTTGGAAATTTCTCGTGGCTTCGAGGCTAAAACTAATTCTAATCACTATTATTTAAATAGATTCGCTTTTTTTTTTCTGATTATTTGAGAAGATACAAAGTACAAAAATGAGTTAAAAGTCGAAAGGAACCAAAATCACATACAAAAGGGGTGGTCCATAACATATGATTCTTCTCTCATCTAACTCCTATATCTATATTTTGACAAAATTCCACAAGGATTATGGAGATTGGTATCGATTACTTGTATCTTAAAAAAAATTAGAAATAACTAAACCCGGTATAATAATATTGTATTTGTAACAAATTTTGTAATTAACGGCTTATTTTAAAACTAATTATGGTTTCTTCTTTTGTTTTCTTATACATATTTTGTTTGATATATCAATGGTTTTAATATTAAAGGGTGAAATCATAAAAATTATAGATAATTATGGTTTATAATATAAATATGTCGATTCGTCTCAAAATTTAAAATGTTTGCTTACAAAACAATGAAATTTCGAGATTCAATGTATTATTAATTTATAGATTTATATCAAATGAATAAAATTCGATATAAAATAAAATATATAGATAAAGTAGCATAACAATTGGATATTATTAAACAGTGTTAAAGACAGAGTCGCAATGATTCCATAGATCATCTCTCTTCTTCAAAAGCTCTGCTCGACGGGAAACGTAGATCGGTCTATCCGCGATATAGTTTGTGAGAGTGTCATAACACAACTTTCCCTCTTGGATAAGTTCGGGACAACAAGAATCGGACACAGTTCCATTTCCGAAAATACCCTCGACGATATCCAGAGTACATTTTGGACTGATCTTGATTAGACATTGATCCCAAAACTGTTTCGCTTCGCCTTCTTCGACAGCAAACACGGGAGTCGATGCATACATCAAACCCACAACAAGGAAGGACACAACCATCAAGTTGTTGAGTTTTGCCATCTTTGTGAGAATATGTCTTAGGGTTTAACTTTTGTATTTTATACTCAAGGTAGAGCAAAAAGATATATTGTTGACTTGTTTTGTGAAACGAAGAATATGACTCCTATTTATAAACTCTAAATTAATTATAACGGACCCTTGGCACATTAATTTGTTTTCTTTAACTCCCATAGTAAATTACGTACACCTCTAACGTTGTGCATGGCTTTTATGTTTAGTGATAAAAACCTGTTTTTAAATGATTTTACGTTTTGACTCCCTGGTTAATTGGTCCTTTAAATAAACAAGAATATTTTTACGTACGTAGGTACAACATCAACACGGTCGACATGCATTCTTTTAACTTTTCTATTTCATTTGACGTGGACCGTCATAATGAACCCTTTTACACAAAACACACTTACTATGGTCGCGATTATCACGTGTTTTTAACATTGTTGAAATATGTCCATGTACAAATATAAACATATCTTGTTTAACCAAAAAAAAAATTATAACATGCCTTGGACTACGAATACAAAAGATTTCGTGATTATATATTCGTCAATGCAACGATAATTTATTACAACTTTAATGGTTGATTTTTGGCTCTAGGGTTTATTTTATTTAATAGAAAATTTGTGACTGATTCTGCTCAACTGGCATTTTCGAACATGGGCAAGGCGTCTGACCACTTCACCCATAAACCGAGTCCTCTTTTTTTTTTTAAAGTCATTTTACAATATTATCTTCGCATAAATATTTTTTTTAAAATTTCATCATTTATAACTGAAGTGAACGAAGACATATACAGTCCTAATCTAACATTTCCTGTAAAAAAAATAAATCTTAAAATTCCTTGTCGTAGAGGCAAAGCATTTTTTTCTACTTAATTGGCAATTTTTTTCATGGAATAAAATGTTCTCCAAGTAATTGTATAAATTTTAATAAAATAATCTTCACAATTTATTTTATATCTGTTTTGTCTCCAATTCAGATTTACTTAAATTTAATAAAGTTATATCAAATTAAGTTCAGAGTCAAATACAATGTATTCAATTAATAACATAACAGAAAAGAGAAATGTACACGCAAGTGAAAAAAGGAACCCTGGCTATTTTATTGATAACCAATCATATAACGCCACGTTTAAAGAGTGGCGTGGCGTTGTCATGTCCATGTGATCGCCGCGTCCAAGGGATTCTATTACATGACGTGGCACGATCTTAACGGCCTGCTGGTATTGGAATCTAGTTGCTTCTATAAACCAGATTCGCACTATATATGTAGTTACCGAAAGAAAAGTAATTTTAGAATTAACTCCCAACCCCCTATATTTCTCCCATTATAGCTTTTGTTGCCACATAAAATTAAACTTACCGTTCTAGTCCCCCCCATCTAACAAATTTTACCGTCATTTTTTTTTTATCTAAATGAGTTTTTCGTCTCTTTGCATTTTATATGTATGGGTTATTGAACCTAGATATATTGTCAAGTGAATTTGACTTTGTTTTCTAGGTTCAATAACCATACATTTAAAACATAACCATATGTGATTATAAATAAAATGGAATGCGATTCAATCTTCTTAAAGTTTTAAAACTGTAATTTTAAAATTATTTTTTTTCAAAGTTGAATTGTACTTTATTATCTATGAATATTTTTCGATAATTAGATAGTCTTAGAGATGATTAGACAATGGTAATTAGAATAACGTTACAAAAAGTATTCAAATTTACCAAGCCACAGTTGAACATTTAAGATACGGATTCAATTAAAATATTTATATGTTTGGTGAATATTTAAATTTAAGAGAAGATATGGATTCAATTAAAATATTTATAAGTTTGGTGTTCAGAGTCATTTTCCAGGAAAGTAGGGCCACAAACTGCAAGAATAAAAAAAATATTATGTTGTATTGTTGTGTGTAGACGTATACGTGTGTATGTATATGCGCGGAATTACATTGCTTGGAAGCCCGTGCGATTCACCATCGGAGAAATAGTGCGCAGTTCCCTTCGCTCCGAATTTTCTGGTGAGTTCTCGATCTCGGACTCTTGAGTTCTCCCGTCTTTCGTTTTTCGAATTTCTCCGATTATTTTCCTTCCGTTGTTTGGTTGCGAAGAAAATTTTTCTATTGCCCATTGGACATTGGTCTCTGATTCCAGTTTTAATGCTCAAATCTCTGCTTTTTGTTCCATTGGGATGAATTTCTAGATAAGCATCCGATTCTGTTTTTCCGGCTTGATTACCTCCCAATTCTCGACTTCGATTTAGGTTTTGATTTTTACAGTCTCAATTGAAATCTAAGCTTTTATTTGTGATCCCTGGGTTTGAGCTATGAGCGAGTTAAGATTCTGATTTTGTTGACAGTGGAAGCTAATGGGGAAGGGGGGTGAAGACTATGGGAAGAGGGAGAATTACAGTTCTAAACCCTTGAAGTCAGATACTTTCCCGGCTTGGGCCAAAGATGTTCGTGAATGCGAAGAGAAGTTCGGTGTCAGCCGCGAAAAGGGTTTGTCGGCTGATGAAGTGGAGAAGCGTCGACAGATCTACGGATTGAATGAGTTAGAGAAGCCCGAAGGAACATCTATTTTTAAACTGATCTTGGAACAGTTCAATGACACATTGGTCCGGATTCTGTTGGTTGCAGCTATTATATCTTTTGTATTGGCCTTGTATGATGGTGAAGAAGGGGGCGAGGTGGGGATCACCGCTTTCGTAGAGCCGCTCGTGATTTTCTTGATATTGATCGTAAATGCCGTTGTGGGGATTTGGCAAGAAAGCAATGCCGAGAAGGCATTGGAGGCTTTGAAGGAAATACAATCAGACCAGGCATCTGCCATTCGTGATGGGAAGAAAGTGTCTAACTTGCCAGCAAAGGAGCTTGTTCCTGGTGATATTGTTGAGCTGAGAGTCGGCGATAAAGTGCCTGCTGATATGCGTGTACTGGCTTTGATCAGTTCAACACTTAGAGTCGAGCAAGGGTCCTTGACTGGAGAGAGCGAGGCAGTGAGCAAAACCACAAAGCCTGTGGATGAGAATACTGATATTCAAGGTAAGAAATGTATGGTGTTTGCAGGAACCACCGTCGTGAATGGGAATTGCATATGCTTAGTTACGGAAACTGGGATGGATACGGAGATAGGAAGAGTGCATTCACAGATCCAGGAAGCCGCACAAAGTGAGGAGGATACCCCTCTGAAGAAAAAACTGAACGAATTTGGGGAAGTCCTAACAATGATCATTGGGGTAATCTGTGCATTGGTTTGGCTTATTAATGTGAAATATTTTCTCTCTTGGGAGTATGTTGATGGCTGGCCAAGAAACTTTAAGTTCTCTTTCGAGAAATGCACATATTACTTTGAGATTGCTGTAGCATTGGCAGTTGCTGCAATCCCAGAAGGATTGCCGGCAGTTATTACCACATGCTTGGCCCTTGGTACGAGGAAGATGGCTCAGAAGAATGCTCTTGTTAGGAAGTTGCCCAGTGTCGAGACCCTTGGCTGTACTACCGTTATATGTTCTGATAAAACTGGAACTTTGACAACCAATCAGATGGCTGTTTCAAAGCTTGTAGCCATGGGCTCCAGGGTTGGTACCCTTCGGTCTTTCGATGTTGAAGGGACAACATATGATCCTCGAGATGGGAAGATTGAGGATTGGCCAGCGGGTCGAATGGATGCAAATCTTCAAATGATCGCCAAAATTGCTGCAATTTGTAATGATGCCGGTGTTGAGCAATCTGGACATCACTATGTGGCTACCGGTATGCCTACAGAGGCAGCCTTGAAGGTAAAGCAGCTCCGATACCAGCATGAACTTTTCTCTGTCTTGAAATTGTTTCCTCTTATTGGATGGCTGAGAAGTGCTTATCTGCATCCTTTTTTACGCTTTTTTGTTTTCCTGGGCAGGTTTTGGTAGAGAAAATGGGATTTCCTGAAAGATTAAATAAAGCCTCTCCTTTGGCTGATGAAGATTTTCTACGTATGAGATCTACTGCACGTTCCATTCTTTTCTTTTCTGTTGTTTAAAAGGTACTAAAAGCCATATTTTACTTTACGTAATGCTGTAAAAGGTTGTTGCCGTCTATGGAGTAAACTAGAGCAGAGGATTGCCACTCTTGAGTTTGATCGGGATCGGAAATCGATGGGAGTTATTGTGGATTCTAACTCAGGCAAGAAACTGCTGCTGGTCAAGGTTTGTTCCTCTTCTTTTAGAATCATTCTGTTGAGGCTTTGAACTTTTGTATGCCATACATTAAACCTTTCTTCTTGACTCTTGTTTTCAATTTCTTAGAGAAGAGCTTTGATATTTTGCAGGGTGCTGTGGAAAATGTACTTGAGAGGAGTACGCATATTCAGTTACTCGATGGTTCGGTTAAAGAATTAGACCAATACTCAAGGGATCTTATTTTACAAAGTCTAAATGATATGTCTACGAATGCGCTGCGATGTCTCGGGTTTGCATACAAAGATGTTCCATCAGAGTTTGTAACTTATGATGGCAGTGAAGACCACCCTGCTCATCAGCTTCTGCTTAACCCGGCTAACTATTCTTATATTGAGACCAATCTTGTATTCGCTGGATTAGTTGGCTTAAGGGTAAGTTTCGTCCTCTGTTATCGTTTTTCAGTTTCCTCCTTTCTTCCATTTTGGTGATTGTTTATGCTATAACTTTGGCATATATTGAAGGATCCACCAAGGAAAGAGGTACGTCAAGCGATTGCGGACTGTAGAACAGCTGGAATACGTGTAATGGTCATTACCGGAGACAACAAGAGCACAGCAGAAGCAATTTGCCGTGAAATCGGTGTGTTTGAAGCAGACGAAGATATCTCTTTCAGGAGCTTGACCGGGAAAGAGTTTATGGAGATTAAGGATCAGAAGAATCATCTAAGACAGTCTGGAGGGCTTCTGTTCTCGAGGGCTGAACCAAAGCATAAACAAGAAATCGTCAGATTACTCAAAGAAGATGGAGAAGTGGTTGCCATGACTGGAGATGGTGTTAATGTTTATGGATATTAAGGATCAGAAGAATCATCTAAGACAGTATGGAGGGCTTCTGTTCTCGAGGGCTGAACCAAAGCATAAACAAGAAATCGTCAGATTACTCAAAGAAGATGGAGAAGTGGTTGCCATGACTGGAGATGGTGTTAATGATGCCCCTGCCCTGAAGTTGGCCGACATTGGTATAGCTATGGGCATCGCCGGCACAGAGGTATTTTCCTTCTTTTTTTATTATGCCACAATGGCGAGGGATTTCGGTTTTCTGAAGAAGTAGCTTTTGGACCACAGGTTGCAAAGGAGGCCTCAGATATGGTGCTAGCAGATGATAACTTCAGCACCATTGTTGCTGCTGTTGGTGAAGGCAGATCCATCTACAACAACATGAAGGCCTTCATCCGGTGAGTGTCTCTTCCCTCCTCATTTCTACTGTTCATACCGTGACATGGTATTGATCATAAAATCTTCTGCAAAGGTACATGATATCTTCCAACATCGGTGAGGTTGCCTCAATATTTTTGACGGCTGCCCTCGGGATTCCAGAAGGAATGATACCGGTTCAGCTTCTGTGGGTGAATCTCGTAACAGATGGTCCTCCAGCAACTGCTCTCGGATTCAACCCTCCTGACAAAGACATCATGAAGAAACCCCCTCGTAGAAGCGACGACTCCCTCATCACTCCCTGGATCCTCTTCCGCTATCTGGTTGGTAACACACCCACTTTCGCAATAGCCGTCGTTCTCCCTCCTCTATGCTTGTCTGACACTCTGTACCTATTGATTTCACATCACAGGTGATAGGTACATATGTCGGTGTTGCTACTGTGGGAGTATTCATCATATGGTACACCCACAACTCTTTCATGGGCATAGACTTGAGCCAAGATGGCCACAGCCTTGTCACCTACTCTCAGCTCGCGAACTGGGCCCAATGCTCATCATGGGACGGCTTCAAGGTCTCCCCTTTCACAGCCGGCTCCCAGACATTCACCTTCGACTCGAACCCATGCGAATATTTCCAACAGGGGAAGATCAAAGCATCCACTCTCTCCCTCTCCGTATTGGTAGCCATCGAGATGTTCAACTCCCTCAATGCTCTCTCTGAAGACGGGAGTCTCCTGACGATGCCGCCGTGGGTGAACCCATGGCTTCTACTGGCCATGTCAGTGTCCTTTGGCCTCCACTTCTTGATACTGTACGTTCCGTTCTTGGCTCAGGTCTTTGGGATAGTGCCGCTGAGCCTCAACGAGTGGCTGCTGGTTTTGGCAGTGGCCCTTCCCGTCATTCTTATCGACGAGCTTCTTAAATTCGTCGGAAGGTGTACTACCAGCTTACGTTACTCTCCTCGTACCACCGTCCCCTCTAAGCAGAAGGCTGAGTAAGAGAAGAAGCACAGCATTAGAGACTCTCGGACACTTTTTTTCTTGTCTCAACTTCAATGCAGAAACTCTTGTTTTTTTTTTCTGTCTGGGGACGGAGTTGAGACATTTTGCATTCAAACTCCGTAAACTGAAATTTTCATTTATACAAATAACATTCCCTTACTGGCGAGTTCTCTCCCTCGTGTATTTGATTGAATGGTATCTCTCTGTCCATTTTCGTCAGCGTTGTTTGTAATATCGCAACTTTCCAATGACAACTCCAAGCACTATACTTAGACCGTAAACTGCCACCAAAAGCCAGAGCATCGACGACGGCCGATCATCACGGCCACCAGCACCGGCCCAATCGTCTAAGCGTGCCTTCACGCGCCGCCGTGACAGCCGGCAGATCCTACCCTTCTTTCACTTACACTCCAACTCCCACACCCTCCAAACCCCGTCTCTCCTCCTCCATTTCCTTCCTCTTCATCCTCTTCTCTCTCAGACCCCTCTACTCCCTGCGCTTTCTCGATCCAGGAAAGATCCCTTCTTCCGCCATCCAAGCTCTTGTTTGGTAAATCTCTTCGTTTGGCCGCTGTGTTCCTCCTCCGGTTTCAGGCTCTCCGTTGTTGCGGCGCTGCTGCTTTGGTCTTGGCCGAGCTCTCCGGCAACGTCCGATCGTCTAAGGTTCGTGGGTTTTGCATTCTCTTGGTCGGGTTGTTACTCTCCTCTAAAGCAGAAGGATGAGTAAGAAGGGGGAAAAAATAACATTCTATAAAACAAAAAGTTCATTCCTATATCCCCAGAAGTCGAACATATTGGTTTCAAGAATGCTTGGGGAGTTGGTACCATACTCTCTCCACGTTGCGAAATCAGTTCCTTTACAGACAAAACATCGACTGATACCATTTCCAGAATCACAACTATTCCAAAGCTAATTCACAAGGAGTTTCCAGAATCGAAACCCTAATCCTACAAACATCATCCGCCGCCACCAAAACCCACAATACCTTACAGAACCCAACACCAGAGATGCACGCCGAAACCGTAGAGAGTCCTTCCTTGTCTCTTCAGAGCGTAGACAACATCCATGGCGGTCACGGTCTTTCTCCTGGCGTGTTCAGTGTAGGTCTCGAGGAAAATCTTGAGAACTCCTCTGGTCTCTTCGTAGATATTCTCTTCATTTCTCCTCCACGCGCCATAATAGGAGATGAGAATCGAGCTGGGAATTGGTGAGAAACGGAGGGAAAGTGGAGAGAAAATCTGAAATAGGAAGCGGGAATTTGAGTTTCTGTAAAAGTTACTCTGTTTTATTTCCTGTACCAAAAATACATATATATACATTCTCTCAACTACAACTGACTTCTAACCAACTTAACCGTAGGTAACACAGCTAACAAAATCTGTTATTCATTCCCTAATACCCCCTCCTCAAGTCTATATCTGTCATCAGGAAGATATAGACTTGAAAGATGAAATTTCTGCATAAAGGAATGAAACAGAGAATGCTGTAAAGGTTTTGTAAAAAAGTCAGCTAGCTGATTTGATGTCCGAACATGCAACGTCTTGATGAATCCATCTCGCAATTTGTCACGCACAAGATGACAATCTATCTCAATATGTTTGGTTCTTTCATGAAGAATCTGATTAGAAGCCAAGTAAATTGCAGATTGATTGTCACAAAACAGATTTGCAGGTTTGATGAAATTGACCTGAAAATCTTCGAGCAGATGAGTGATCCATACAAGTTCACACGTTGCATTAGCCATTGATCTGTACTCTGCCTCTGTACTGCTTCGAGAAACCACCTGTTGCTTCTTTGCCTTCCAAGATATAAGTGATTGTCCGAGAAACACACAAAATCCTGTGACAGATCGACGAGAGTCCTTGCAAGCAGCCCAATCAGCATCTGCAAATGCGCTTAGACGAAGTTCCGAGCTTGCAGAGTAAAATAAACCTTGCCCAGGATTCTGTTTGAGATATCTAACAACTCGATGTGCTGCCTTTAGATGATCTTCCGTTGGTTGAGACATAAACTGAGTCAGTTTATGAACAGCAAAAGTAATGTCTGGACGAGTGATTGTCAGATAAAGCAATCGTCCAACCAAAGCTCTGTAACTGGTCGCATCAGACAAGGGTGCACCAGATTCCTGAGACAAAGGATTATTTGGATCCAAAGGAACAGACACTGTCTTGCAACCTGTCATGCTTGTATCCTCCAACAATTCTAGACAATATTTCCTTTGACTGATTGAAATCCCTGTAGTACTTCTCGCAATTTCCAGACCAAGGAAGAACTTCAAGGGATCCAGATCCTTGATTTGGAAATTCTGCATAAGAAGCTGCTTCAACTGCGCAACAGCATTGTTGTCATTACTTGCAATGATTATATCATCAACATAGACAAGCAAGGCAACAAATGAATCTCCAATCTTGCGGACAAACAAGGTATGATCTGCTTGAGATTGTTTGTATCCAGACTTCAAGAGAACTGAACTAAATTTGGTGTACCATTGTCTTGAGGCCTGACGCAAACCATAGAGTGATTTTTGAAGCTTACAAACAGGGCGATCTGGCAAAGAAGAACCTGCTGTTGCAGTATATCCAGGAGGCAATTCCATGTAGATTTCTTCTTCTAAATCACCATGTAAAAAAGCATTAGTGACATCCATTTGTGTCAAAGTCCAATTCTTGACAGCTGACAAGGCTAAAAGCAGTTTGACAGTGACGAGTTTCGCAACTGGAGAAAATGTATCAATGAAATCCACTCCTTCTTGTTGCGTAAAACCCTTCGCAACTAGCCTTGCTTTATATCTATCAACTGAACCATCTGGTTTCCGCTTTATGCGATATACCCACTTACATCCAACTGCTTTCTTAGCAGGAGGTAAAGAAACTACTGACCAAGTTCCATTACTGTGTAATGCACTAAGCTCAACATCCATAGCCTCTCTCCATTTTTCAGAGGACACAGCCTGTTTAAAGTTTCGTGGTTCTGTTTCATTGGACAGGTTTAAGATATAATCTCGGTAAGGCTGAGAAAGTCTATCATATGATAAAACAGATGATAGAGGATATAAAACTGGCTTGGTTGAGGTTGGTGCTGTGTGATGTTGAGCAAGATAACAATGATACTGATCCAAATATGAAGGAGGTTTAATAACACGTCTAGGCCTATCTGCCAATTCAGTACGTGTATTAACAGAGTCTGGAAGTGGAGTTTCAGGGTGAGGAAGATTCAGCTGTTGATCAGTTTCTGAAGAATTGATATCATCAGATACTGCAGGTATAGGTAAAGGAAGAATGGTTTGGGAAAAAAAATTTGTGACAGATTCCAGAGCAGAATCTGTTGAAGGATTGAGTGAATGAAATGGAAAAATGTGTTCAAGAAACTCCACATTCCGTGAAATATAGACTCTGTTTGTCTCAGGGTCGAGCAACTTATACCCTTTAAATCCAGGAGGGTATCCAATGAAAACAGCTGCATTTGCTCGAGGTGAAAACTTATTCCTCATATGAATATTAGTGGAGCTGTAACATAAGCATCCAAAAGCCCTGAGATGTGAGTAAGTGGGTACCTTGTTCATCAAAATTTCATATGGTGACTTATTTTGCAGAACTGGAGAAGGAATCCTGTTGATTAAGTATGTTGCAGTGAGCACACAATCACTCCAATATGCTAGAGGCAAATTTGACTGATACAGCAAGGCTCTTGCAACATTTAACAAATGCTGATGCTTCCTCTCAACCACTGAGTTCTGCTGAGGAGTGTATGGACAGGAGAAGTAATGCAGAATACCTTGCTTGCTGCAATAATCTGTAAACTGTAACTCATGTGCATTATCTGATCTAACAGATTTTAAGGATTTTCCAAACTGTCTCTCAACCATTCTGACAAAGTCAGGAAAAAAATTAGCAACTTCTCCCTTATGTTTCAACATATAAATCCACGTTGCTCTAGAACAGTCATCAACCAACGTGAGAAAATATTTATAACCCTCAACAGAAGTGGTAGAGAAGGGGCCCCATATGTCCATATGAACAAGGTCGAAAGGTTGATCAGAAAAGTGGTTGTGAGAAACATATGGTAAACGACGTTGTTTAGCAAGATGACAAACTTTACAGTGATCTAAAGTTGTACATTTGCTGAGTTCAAGTACATCAGAAAGAACTTTTATTCTGGGGAAAGACGGGTGACCAAGCCTGTGATGCCACAACTCGGTATTCACAGTTACAGAATGACAAAAGGTAGTAGGATGGACAGGGGTAAAAGAAAAATCGAGGACATAGAGATTGTGATGGAGTTTAGCCCTCCCAATCGTCCAATCCTGAGTAAGATCCTGGATAAGGCAGGTTTCAGATGAAAAAGTAAGTGAGAAAGGGTTATTTTTGAGTAAGGCATGTACACTGAGTAGATTGAAAGAAAAGGATGGTATGAAAAGGACGTCTGTGAGAGTTATAAATTCATTGATGACAACTGTTCCAGCAGTTTCAATAGAAATACGCTGACCATTAGGAAGTGTTACTAGAGTAATAGGTATCGATTTCAGATTAGTAATCCAAGATCTATCAGAACAGACATGCACAGACGCACCAGAATCTACAATCCAATCAGTACTGATGCTATCAACTGACAAAGCAGTGAAGAAGTTACCAGTTTGCTCAGATGTACGTGCTCCAGATGCAGTAATGGTAGGACCATTCACTCGCAGATGATCTCCAATTTTAGCATAGATGTGTTGCAATTGCTCTGCAGGTAAGACACTGAAATCAGGTATAGCTATGGAGGAAGCAATACCTGTGTCAGTTGTGACAGCCGCAACAGTTCCATGTGAAACATTCTGAAATTTGTAAGGTTGCGAAGCAGAGTGCAACTGTTTTGGACCAATGTTAGGCTTGTATCCTGGCGGATATCCATGCAATTTGTAGCATTTCTGAACAGTATGGCCATAGAGACCACAATGTGTGCAGAGTGGGCGCTGCCGTGATTTGAAATTACCACCAGCAACAGCAGCTACAGTTGAAGGATTAACAGAGGAAGAATCCACAGTGGAAACAGAGTTCTGTAGTGTGACATGTTGAGCAGATACTGGCTGAGTAATGACAGACCTTTGATGCTCCTGTTGTGTAACTATGTTATATGTCTTCTCCAAATCTGGTAATGCATCCATCATCAGAATGTTACTCCGAACAGATTCATAGGAGTCATTCAGACGAAACAGAAAATGCATAACAAAATCTTCTTCAAAAAGATCATTCCATTGCTTATTTGTCTGGCAAGAGCAGTTACCACAAATACACTGTGGATTCGCACGAATGGCCTTGGTTTCCTCCCAGATGGTAACAAGTTTCGTATAGAATGCCGACACATTCATCGATCCTTGATATAAGCCAAACAACTTTTGTTTGACATTGTAAATTCGAGAATGATTCTTCTGCTGGAAGCGAGTGATTAAATTCTTGTACATCTTCTCAGCAGTTTGAATATGCAATAAACTCTCTGAAATATCTTCAGAAACCGAGTTAAGGATCCATGAACTTACAACAGCATTGTTGCGAATCCAGTGTCGAAGATTAGGATCACCATCAGGAGGTCGTAACAGAGAACCATCAATGAAGCAGATTTTGTTCCTCCCTTCAAGCGCCATTGTCAACGATCGGCGCCAGGAATTGAAACCAGATGCATCATTCAACCGATGCGAAACGAGATTGAGATTGTAATCATTGTTCGAAAGAACATAATGATCGGGACAATCAGAATTAGACGCCATTTCTTCGGATGAAGCGCGGAGAAACAGGATTCGAAAGAAATTTTTCAAGGAAAAGGAAGATTTCAACAGATTATTGAGGCGGAAGTATCAATTCGCTCTGATACCATAATAGGAGATGAGAATCGAGCTGGGAATTGGTGAGAAACGGTGGGAAAGTGGAGAGAAAATCTGAAATAGGAAGCGGGAATTTGAGTTTCTGTAAAAGTTACTCTGTTTTATTTCCTGTACCAAAAATACATATATATACATTCTCTCAACTACAACTGACTTCTAACCAACTTAACCGTAGGTAACACAGCTAACAAAATCTGTTATTCATTCCCTAATACGCCAGTCGCCTAATTGCCGGCTTCGTGATTCCTTGGGAGATTTCTAGAATCAACGTTGAATCAAACAGAAACCCTAGATTATAAACTACTCGATGGAAATGAAACTTGAACAAGAAACTCAAGGTGCTCCCAAACAAAATCTCGGCAGATTCGTTGTTTCCGTCGAGAAACGTGACTTGGTGAAAAGTTTTTATCAACCGAAGACCATTCCAGACAGCGGGAGAAAGGGGGATAACGGAAACATGATCGCAAAGACGACAAACTGGAGATCAAAATCAAAACTGAAACTGTAAAATCATGAAAAAAGAAAACAGGGGAAGACAGTACCTGTTTTCTTTGTTTACGTTGTCTGTTCTTCCATAAGTAGGAAAGCCATGCAAGATTTCTCTCGTCCTTTTTTTAAATTTTCAAGACCTTTTGTTGTATTAAATTAATGAAATGTAAGAATTAATTAAATTATCTCGTCCGTATATATATATAATTAATTAATTTAAAACCAACCGTTAATGCACTACGTGCATGGGCGGACCCACGTAGATGGTAATGGGGCATTTGCCTCCAATTTTAAATCAAAAAATATTTGTTTTTTTATAAATTATATAAAATTTTAATTAAAATCTTTAAACACTCCCATAATAAAATTAAATTTGTCCCCTGACTATAATTTATGCTCCTGATTAAAAATTATTCTGAATCCGTCATTGACAACGTGTCTTTTATATGAGTACACGTATCATATGTTAACTTAGGGGTATATATACATATATATAATGATTTTTTTTAAATTTGATCATCTTCGAAATATTAAAAAGGAACAATCATGGTACATATCACAAGGGAAAAAAGAAAAAAGAAAAAAAAAGAAGAAAGACCCACTTCTAATTAGAAAAGTACTGTTGCACATTAGACAAATGAGTTCTTTCTCGCTGTCTAGTCCTAAAGACAATACCTACGCATGCATGCATGCATGCAGATTACAGAAACCAAGACAGCAATTGAAACAACTCATCACTCTCGTTAACCCCACATTCAAACCAAAAGATCTTCACTCCCCCAATATATATATATAGTTTTAAATAAAATAGAAAGTAAAAACCCTAAACATAAACACTAACTGCTTCTACGAAGACAGCGACGGGAGAGAGACGTAAACTACAATCGTTTACAACGGTCTAGTTATTCAGCTGACTAGAATTTCACCCGATTTTACACGTGCCTCGATCTTAGCTGTTGAATTGCGTCATATATGAAACACCCGCAGAATCTTTTTCCGCCCTTCAATTAGGGTTTGGGGCCTTCTTTGAAGTTGGAGCCTTTGGAGGGTGAGACTGGGAAGAGCTCTAGGGTTTTAAGGGGCGGTTTTGGATTTATGTGGCTGCAACATGGAAGCGGAGGTGATGATAACAACGACGATGTCGATGATAATGATAATGATGATGGATATGATGGTGTTGAGCCCACATCCATCATCATCATCATCAAATTTCTGCCGTATAATGAAGAACTCGTGATGGGTTTTGGCATGATCATCATGTGCTCCATACCATCTCCTCTTCTAGCATAACATTTGCTGCAGCAAAATTCCTTCATCGCTTTGATTTCGCCTTCTTTTCCTCCAATCCCCTGAATTCCAAAACCACTTTTAGATTTTTTTAACCTCTGAAATTTACAAATTACTAGCATAGCACTACCGTTACCTACAGACCTCGCGATGTAAATATATAACTAATAACAATTTTATTACGACAGTTTTTTCATGTAAATATGCCCTTCAAGGTAACTTCATTCTAGCATAATTTACCTTAGGTAACATCAGAATTCATGGAAATTCTGAGTTGTTCAAGCTATATATGTATATTAGCAAACTTATTATGGATAGGAATCGCGAGTTCTTGTATACGTATAGGCTATTCTCCAAATTTGTTGAAAGATATGATCTATATTGTATGAGAATAAAGTATATATGAAATACCCACTTTAACTTTTTAAATAACAAAAAAGAAAAACCATCTAATGATCGATATTTCAAAAATGACAAAGAAAAGCTTCATGAAACATATATACACAGTAAAAAAACATAAACGAGTATCTTACCGTATGAGGAAGACACATAAGAAAGGAGTGGGAAGAGTAAGCGAGGGAGGAATTCGTCGTCGGAGCCAAAGACAAGTGATCACATGGACGAATGAACTCGTGATTGTAATAAGGAGGCCTATAAGATGTCGGCTGCTGTTGCTGATGCAGTTGCGATTGCTGTTGCTGAAGTTGTTTAGCGAGTTTCTTCCTCAGCTTCTGCCGGTCTCTGGCCTTGTGGTTCTGGAACCAGTAAAAGACGTTTTTGCCCTCGATGCGGCCATAGAAGGCGAGATGGGAAGTGATCTGCTGTATCTGAGCCCCGTTCGGCGTTCGGACACCGCTTCTGTACATCTCCTCCAGTATCATCAGCTGCTCCGGCGTCGGACACCACCTCGTTGATGCCGCCGGACTCATTTTTCTTATCAGTCTACGTCGAAATATATGTGTCTGCCCTTTTCAATCTTCTGTCGTGTGAATATATATATAGGCAAACTATATGTGTGTATACATATGTGTGTATGTGGATGAGGTTAATGGGCGATGGTAAAGGGTCCCAAAAACGAGAGTTCAAATGGTCAGGGAGAGAGACGTAAAAAAATATAATAAATGCCTTAAAATTTCAATGGAAAGGGACACGAGAGAGATAAGGGTTAGACAAAAAATAAACATAAAGAAAGAATCTTGTACTATGTTATGTACATTCATATATACCAACAGATATATATATATATATATATATATATAGCTCGTATAGTCCAAAACAATATGCATGCATACTATATGTAGTAGACGTCAATGGATTGTAGAATTTAACTACGTGTTGTTTTGTGAGTTCACCGAGTATTTTTCATTTTCTTAATTTTCATAATTTCGGGGAAATATCAAATATAAATAAAAAATAAAAAAATAAGGAAATTTGAAGAACAAATTAAATAAAACAGAAGGGAGAACAGTGGTGGCGAAGGCGCGAGATTATCACGGTGGAGTATTAATTCAATAGTTCTTTACTATAGCTATTGCCAATTTACACATAAACACACACATATATGATATATACACTGACCCATCCATGTGTATATATAGAGAGAGTGTGAGGAGAAACTTGAATGATTATGTCATTATTACTTTATTATGATTTACTTCTCGACAGATTGAAATTGACGCATCATAAGTTCACCAAACATGAAAACAAAAACCCGAGTAAAATCTCTTCTATCTTTTCGTGGACAGACATGTAAATTATTACAATATGAGATGTGCAGATGCATTATATTATGTAGATTGACATATACATACATACATACATCCATACATACATATAGGTATATAATTATTCTTCAGTATAGCTAGGAAATTTTTTGCGAGCATGCATATATAGAACACAAACAGATCTTGCATTCACGCGTAAAAGGGCTGATTTCCTTTTATACGGATGGCTAGTGGCTATGGCTATGGCTACAACCTTTTTATTTATAATTTTGGTGTGCGTGTGTGTGTATGTATCTATATATTATACGAAACATATACTAATTTATTAGCGCATAAAAGAATTGCTTTAAATATCACATCATAAATTTTAGTTCGTCGATTTCAGAAAAAATGGGCATTTTGAGTTTGACTTTAAAGGTCTGCATGCATGGATTAACTGCATGCATTAACATTCGCACCTATTTCATGTTTAGGGACCATAGCCCCACGTATCGAACATATAGCCTATCTATGCCTTCCTGACATTTTCTTTATCAGGAAATTTTATTTCTCACATATATATATATATATATACACACCTATTGCTTAATTTAATTCTCGTTAAATATTGTTTAAAATATTATTGTCTTTTTCCATCCCAATCCGCGTTTGCAAGAGTTACAAATATAATTTTCGATATTATTAATTAACCCGCATCGATTAAAAAAAATAATTTTCGATATTTGATGTAATAGGAAGCTGCTTGTGCAATGGCAATTAATTACTCAAAACAGTTCGTTATATTAACGTCAAACTTAAATGCGAGCATTTTTTAATTACTCAACATATATATAAGTCTTCGATCTCATAACTTAATTATCGAATTTGGGGCACCATATGAGAAATGTTCAATATATATTATTGGTTATGAACTCTCGATCGATAATTATATAACCTCTGCAACTCTCCATGATTATATAAACTTTACATGATACCCAATATATATCCCTCTCAAATTCATACATGTTCCAAACGACATATTTATAAGTTAAGCTTTTGCATGTCTTTGCAATGAAGGAAGAGTGGGAAAAAAAAAAGACAATGCCATAAATGCAAGCAGACAAATTGCAATCTGCTTTCGAAACTGTAAAATTAATTAGACTTTTATCTTATATATATATATATATATATATATTTATTATATGTGTAGTGTTGTGTCAACATTCTTAATAAATCACGACTGTTGGTAAAATACCAAACAGCTCTTTTTGCTGTTTTGTCATATGCTCTTTTTTGTCCCCACTGCCTCAATGTCTCTAACGTCTATCAGAACACCTCTTTGCACAATGTGCCTACACTCCCTCCCTCCCCAGCTATATATATATATATACATATACACGTGTATATATATACACAAACACGCATATATATATATATAACACTGGGATTATCTAAAGACTTCAGTATATTTTTGTAACATATCGCATCCTACTTTATGTTATGGAACTCTGAAAAAGCTGCGTATATATGAAAGTTTATGGAATATTTTAGAATTTCATGGTTTGCTTTATACATGTGTTAGACCTTTTTGACAATCGGCCTCTAAGATTTATAAACTTGACAGACGAACAAAAAAAGTTGAACATTTTCGATATTGTAATTTTTGGAAATAAAAATGGTTTTCCATATTTTAAAAAGTTGGTTAAAGGAAGATTAAAAAGAGTGGTCGGTTCGTATTTTTGTTTGGATAGAGAGAATGTGAAATAGGACACGTGGCGAGAAGGGCGAGACTCTCTAAGAGTGGGGGTTAGTTAAAAAAAAAAAAAGGAGAAGAAGAAGAAGAAATGATTTGACGAGTGACTGAATCAAAGTTATGTCAAGTCTCCGTACCTTTGCATTGCTGACTTTTCTGTTTCCTTTCTCCACAAACAAAAATTTCTCAAAAAATAATTTATGTAAAAAAAATACCTTAATAAGAATCGGATGTAATAATAATTATATTTAGTATTGAGAATTCCAAGATTTGATTCGATAATGTATAATCATATTTTTATTTTTGTTGCTTCTCCACTTCTGCATATGAGCGCTTTAGGATCTTAACGGGTTTTATTTAGAAGAGTTTATTACTAGAGGAGGACATAAATTCATTCTTGAAAAAAAAAATTAAAAGAGAAAACGATTATTAACAAAATAGTCTGCAGGGTTTATGTAATTATAAATATTAAATTATCAACCAAAATAAAATTTTTAAAAAATTGTAACGATTACAATAAGCAATGCAAATTATAATAAATGTCACATTCCATCTCTTCTTTTTTTTTTTTTTTATAAATTGTTGGGTAAAACATCCATAACTTTTAGAAGAAAAATATGCATGTATTAGGGGTGGGTAGAAGATGATTAGCCCACGAACACATCCGATTGAAAATTATCAGAAAATCCAATATCTAAGACGCATATCAAATTTAGGCAATGCATAGATATATATATTCGAACTTTCGTTGCAAAGATTGGATAACCGAAAATATCCGAAAAATTACCAAAATATCTCTAATATATTTACAGATTCTAACATTAGTCTTGGTATTTCTTAATAATTACGAATTCATGCTTGATTTTTAAAATTTTCAAAAATACCTTGATCTTTATTAAAATTGCAAAACTATAATTCGTTTTCTTACAAAATATTTGAAAAAATAGGAAAACAAGTGAATGGATTTTGAATCCTTATATATAAGATATTTGAGTACAAATTTGCAAACTCAGAGACTTTGAATATTTGAACCGTATATATATATATATATTAAGAGAGAAATTTTTTGTTGTTGATAATTTAAAAATTTATCGGAACTTTGGTCCAATTACATCTTTTAAAAGACCGGAAAAATCTATATAAATATTCCTCTCGAATGAAGAATTCGAACTCGGGTTGGAAAAAAACTTTGCTCCGCTTGAGAGGAGTTTATTACTTGCCAAGGGTAAATATTGTTTAGCTGTTTGTAAGACGGAGGAAATGACACGGCTTCGGTTAAAATGGAACTTCTGTTGGACGAAGCAATAGTTATAACGTAACATTTAATCAAGTAGACCAACTAGGAATGGTCAAAAGCGAAAGCCGTAATTATTAAAAATTTCCATTGGTAAAAATAATTTTGGTTGAATAATGTCATTATTATTATTATTATTAATATCTCAACATCATATCAGTGGATGGAGTTTCACTACGATTCTGTTGATCAACAGGGAACTCAGACACCTACGATTTGGTAATTATATGCCAAACTAATCACAATGCAATAATGATCCATAGTAATTTCATACACACGTGCGCCTATATGTACACACAAAAGCTAGAAACATTAGGTCTATTTCATCATCATCATCACAATTAGATCTTGTTTTTAGGTTAAGAGAGTGGTGTTTGTTGTATATTTAAAAACTTTTGAGGCAAAATGGTAATTTTCAAAACTTGTTCCTGATGTTTTAAATGGGCTTTTATTATATCGTTAAAAACCAATAGGCCCAATTATAAAAGCAAAACGCGAATACCCAGGGTTCCATAAAAATCCCTCCTGGCCCCTTTTGTTCATCAAAATCCCTAAAACCTCTTTACCTGCAATCCGATTTCAATCTCGCTCGTTATCTTCTCGATCTCGGTTGGCGGTGCACGCGACGGAGCTTGCAAGAGTGACGATGACTGGAGAATCAGAAGTGACCGACGGCTTGATAAGTCGAGGTAGTGACAGCAACGCATCGCAGAGAAGGACAACGTGAGTGATTTTGAGAAAAACCTGATTTAGGATCTCGCGAATTACTTGTGTATTCTGGTGAGATTCTGTTTGATATCGATTTCTTACGTCTTGTTGTTGGAAACCGTCTCAGAGAAGCTCCTCAATTAGCGTCGGTGTTGAAAGAGATGAAGGCTGGCCTAGACGTAGTCAGGAGCAAAGTGGAAGCTCTAACTGCAAAGGTTGGGTGCTAATTAGGGTTTAGGGTTTTCGTCTGCTCCAAATCATGGTTCAATTTTACTGTAAACGTAGTCAAGTGCCTTAAACGTTTTAGATAAGGATATTGGCTTTGCCTTGTATCTTTAGCCGAGTTAGTGGATTGCATCTGTGGTTACCATTATTCAAGGAGGAACTGAACGTGCGTCGTGTTAGTTTCATGTTGACTTACAGTTTCTATTTTGGTTCTTAGGTGAAAGCAAATAATTATCCCACAGCGGATGGGATTAGCTATCTTGAGGCTAAGCATCTGTTGCTTCTAAGCTATTGCCAGTGTCTTGTTTATTATTTGCTGAGGAAGGCGCGAGGCTTTTCTATTGAGGGCCATCCTGTTGTACGAAGCCTTGTAGAGATTCGGTTATTTCTCGAAAAGGTTTGCATCTTTTCTTAGGTCCCCTTGCTTCCATGATTCCATCTAGTAGTATAACACATGGTAGTATATCTGACACATACTATTGCCTTTGGGTAGATTCGTCCGATAGACAAGAAACTGCAATACCAGATTCAGAAGCTCACGAGAGCTGCTGGGTCTGTCTCGGAGCAAGCTCGTCCTGAGGAAAAGGAATCAGATGCAACTCAGAAGTCTGAGGATCTCTCAAAGTACCGGCCGAACCCTGACATGCTTGTTAGCAAAGCTGAGGCGGCACCAGAGGTACCTCAATTTACCCCATTTTTGTCTGTAGAAATCTGCTGGTCATCATTTTACATAAACCCTTTGCTTTTGTTATGTAGGACGGTGTATACAGACCCCCGAAATTTGCACCTATGTCTATGGACGATGACAGGACAACAAAACAGGAAAGGAATGCTGCGAGAAAGGAGAAACACCTTCTGAGGCAAGCGACAGAAGACACATACATGAAAGAAGTGATTGACGAGCTTGAGGATCGACCTGAAGAGGTGGGTTGATCGCTTCTCTTTTTGCAGGAATCTTTTGGTAAGTTGATACAGAGTATGTTAATGCGATATTCTAACTGAGCCACTGAACACAGATAAGAGACTTTGTTGGGGCTGAGAGCAAGGAACTAAAGAAGTTCAGAGCACAATGGGAAAAACGAGAAGAGGTGGAAGAGGAGCTCTTTGCCCGTGCCCCGCGAACAAGGGAGGAGAAGAAGAGAGAGAAGCATTTAAAGAAATCACGCAATGGGTATATTTGGTCGAAACCGAGCTTTTGGAATTCCCAAGCATGTTTTGCAGACCGTTTGACATTATTAGAGTAACCCGGTTTCCTGGTATGGTTCAGGTTGCTCGGTCTGACTGAAAATTTCTACGACGAGATCAAGTTCTTGCCCGTCGAGGATAAGGAGGAACAGCCAACGAGCTTTGGTGATAGGAGCGTTAAAATGGGAAGAAAGCTCAAGAAAAGAAAGGTTTGAACCCTTCTCTATGTTTTTGCCTTTTCTAATGTTTATGCTCTTATGTATTATTACCCCCTTTGAACCTGACAGTGTAATGCATTTTGCAGATGAGGCATTGAGACTGATACATCATTACATGAGCCCGGGCGCTGCATTTCACCAATTTTGTTGCTTAGAGAAAACCCAAAATTCATGTTCAAGTTTTTGTTCTTTCGTGTTGGTCTGGATTTCAAATTCAAATGAAATATTTGTCGGATTCATGCGTGCAAAATGTGAATTATAAAAAAGGAAAGGACCTTTGCATCAGAATCGGAAATAAACTAAAGAATTTTTCTCTCCTCTATTTTTAGAATATCTTCAGCTGAAACTTCGATTTCTTCTACAGTTCTGATTCGACAAAATACCCGACAAAACCAAAAAAAAAATTGCACTTGCCTCTCTCTCTCTCTCTCTCTGTCTCTCCATTTTCGCCATGGGAAGCAAATCGAGCTCAAGCAGTGGCAACGTGAGCAATCAAAGAAGCAAACATGGAGAAGATCACAGCGAAAAGATGAAACCTCTAACACCAAAAATCCAAAACAATGGCCGAATCTCCCACTTGGGTTTCCTACGTTCTCCTCTCCCATGGCTCTTCATCGTCCTCTTCCTCCCATGGCTCCTCCTCTCCGGTCGCTTTGGACGCCTTCCTTGTCGTCCCTCCTCCCCCGACCGCCATGTGTCACGCTTACAGTTCGCCAACTCATCCTCCTCCGGTGCCCTCGATGCACCAGCAGAGGCCGGTGAATACGACGTCGTCCCGAGGGTGCCCTCGATGCACCCGCAGAGGCCGAGGAGGTTCAATACGACGTTGGACCATGTCGTTTTCGGGATCGCGGCTTCGTCGGTGCTGTGGGAGACGAGGAAGGAGTACATCAAGTCATGGTGGAGACCCCGGAAGACACGTGGCGTTGTCTGGATCGACAAGAGGGTCCGGACTTACCGGAACGAACCCTTGCCGGAGATCCGAATCTCCCAGGACACGTCACGTTTCCGGTATACATACGTATATATAGATAATATATATATATATACACACAACAGCCATCTTCTTTATACCAAAAAAAAACACCCATAATAATAATACAGATTAAAAGGGTAGAAGATGGATGAAACAGGTACACTCACCCAGTGGGAGACCGATCGGCGGTGAGAATCTCAAGAGTGGTGACGGAGACACTGCGGCTGGGGAAACCGGACGTGAGGTGGTTCGTGATGGGGGACGACGACACGGTCTTCGTGGTCGACAACGTCGTCAATGTCCTGTCCAAGTACGACCACACCCAGTTCTACTACGTCGGCAGCTCATCGGAGGCTCACGTCCAGAACATCTTCTTCTCTTACTCCATGGCCTTCGGCGGCGGCGGCTTCGCCATCAGCTACCCTCTCGCCGTCGAGCTCTCCAAATTGCAGGACCGCTGCATCCAGCGTTATCCCGCCCTCTATGGCAGCGACGACCGCATTCAAGCTTGCATGGCCGAGCTCGGTGTTCCTCTCACCAAAGAGCCCGGCTTTCACCAGGTAATGATGAACTAACTATGTAGATCGTCATCATCATCATGATAATCATCGTCATTATTATCATCATCATCTATGCTGCAGTACGATGTGTACGGGGACCTGCAGGGTTTACTGGGGGCGCACCCAGTGACGCCATTGGTGTCGCTGCACCATATAGACGTGGTTAGACCGATATTCCCGACGATGACTCGGGCGAGAGCCCTCCGTCATCTCATGTCGTCTGCCTCCCTGGACGCAGCCAGCATCTTCCAGCAGTCCATCTGCTACGACCAGAGCCGGTTCTGGTCTATCTCTGTCTCGTGGGGATTTGTTGTCCACATCATCCGAGGCGTCATCTCCCCTCGTGAGCTCGAGATGCCTTCTCGAACCTTCCTCAACTGGTTCCGCAAGGCCGACTACATCGGGTAAGTTACCTCTTTCTCGCTCTCTGTGTTCCAGAAGGGTTCGATCTTGATCTTGATTTTCAGGTACGCGTTCAACACGAGGCCTGTGGCGAGGCATCCGTGCCAGAGGCCGTTCGTGTTTTACATGAAATCGGCAAAGTACGACAAGGGACGACGCCAAGTCATCGGGTACTATGCCCTGGACAAGAAGATGAGAATCCCGGGCTGCCGCTGGCGGATGGATTCGCCGGAAAAGATCGATTCCGTCGTTGTTCTCAAGAGACCTGACCCTCTCCGGTGGCACAAGGTACCCACCATCACCCCCGTCCGGTTCGGCACTACAGATATTTTGATCATACCGGTTTTGAGAGATAAAACTAGCGGAATCAACTGGTTTTTGCATCGGCTATGCTTTTTTTTACATGGGTTCCGGGCGATTTAGTCGACTGAAAATCGAAAATCTCGGCTGGTTCTCCATCGGTACATTGTAAAACCCGGTTTGGCAAACGTTTTATAAATTTTTCTTGTGGTGCAGTCACCAAGGAGGGACTGTTGCAGGGTAATGCCGAGCAGGAGAAACTCTACCATGTACATATGGGTCGGAAATTGCAGAGATGGAGAGATTAGCGAGCTCGAAAATCAGCAGTAACATCCCGAAAATTCGTAAAATTTACAGAATCCAGCATAAGGGTTTCATGGTTTTGGGAATTTTTTTTTCTCTCGCTTTGTCCTAAATGTAAAATCTTTACTTATGTGATCCTTGCAACTCTAAAATCTTTACTCTGCGGTTACGTGCATTGCAAGAAAATAAGCAGAGTTGCAGAATCTGATGATATTGCTGGAAAAAAAAAGCATCTCAAAGTAGAGAAACCAAGAAGAGAAGGTAAACAAGAAGATACAATCGTTTCTTCTCGGGTCAGGGCTCATGGTTTGGTGATCTTGATTTTTCCGGCTGAGATGAATGTTGCAGAGTTCGATTTTGATTTCCAGAGGGGAAATCCGAAGCTCGGGAAATGGCGGAGGAAGCGAGGATCGCCATGTCGAGACGAGTGTCGTTTCTAGCTACGGTGACAGCGAGGGAGTTCTCGATGCGATGGAAGGCCAAGATCTGTCCATTGTTGATGTCTATGCTCACTGATTGTTGTTTTCGCCGAAAATATTACAACCCATCAAAAGAATAAGGAAAGTAATCAGAATGGACGGGAAAGTTTCTGCCTTTTTTCCCGGAAACACTTTCCCGAGAAAATGTAGTGGCGAGTCTTTCAGAAACAGCAGATTCAACGAGTCACGACAAAAACTCAGAATAAGAAGGAAAGATTCTTGCATCTGCATTAAAACTTCGATCCAAACGGAAAAAGGAAAAGAAAAGGAATGGAAACTACCCGAGTGAGAAAACCACCAGAGGACGAAGAAGCAGAAGACAACAACCGCCGGAATCGCGTGTACCCACTTCTCCGGCGCCGGAAAAATCCCTCTCCGGGCGTTTTGCGTCCTCTTTCCGATCTGAGAAGAAGAGATCGGGAGAAGGAAAGATCTTTCCGCCATTGCTGCAGTATCAGAGATCTCTAGGGCACAAGAGAGAGAGGTGTGAAAGCTTTATACAAGGGCCATGAGCGGGAAAACTTGCTTCACGTGATCACAGTCCATCGGCTAAAAACAGAATTTTGTCAAGAAGAGAGAACACACACAACCCCACCGGCGCGAAATGAACCTTCTTTGATGCGTGAGATTGTGATTGTGAATTCCATTTTTGGATGGATGCAGAAGGAGGTCATGATCATAATGAAAACGTATATGTACATCTGTTATATATATATATATGCCCCGAGACAAAATGGTTTTCTACAGACGAGAAGCATTCTACATACAAAGAACCCGACTCAAATGTACATCCATGGGAGAGAGATGGCGGAAAGAAGAAAAAGCTAACGGCGATTCATCTTTTCTGTAGTTCCTGGATTCAGCAAAAGTAAGACAACCCTTTTACACAAATATCTGCCATAACCAACTGAAAGGTGAAGCTAACATTTTGATACATCTGTTTGTTTGTTTACCTAGGAAGAAGAAACTCCATGCTTGGTTCTGTCTTTCTCGTCTCTGTCGGTGTCAGTGTCCTGAGAAGACAAGGTTCTCCTCGAGCTGTGGCTGTGAGGGTCGTATTTCTGAGAAGCCAAGTAGTTCAGTGCCATGACTACATCTGATATCACCGGTCTCATGTTAGGCTGCTCTTGCACGCACATTGCTGCAATTGCTAGGGCTTGGTACAGTCCTCTCACCGGGTATTGCCCCCGTAGTAACGGATCCACCATTTTTGGGAAGTTCCTCCTGTCTTTGAACAAAGGCCGTGCCTGAACATTTTGTATAAGGAGACACTGTTTATCATGAATGTTATTTCAACGAAAAGATTGGAGCATTCTACGTGGATCCCATGTAGTATCGGGCAAATTAAGAATAAACCCTTATGGTAAAACAACATCCGCACCAGTTCAAAATATCGAAGATAGAGTTGAGATGTCTTACCCATCCAACCAGATTCTGCTCTTTACGCTCTCTCGTATTATCAATTGCTTTCCTTCCGGTGATGAGCTCTAAAAGGACAACTCCAAAACTGTATATATCCGATTTAAACGTGAGTTGGCCCGTCATTGCATAATCCGGGGCACAGTACCCATATGTCCCCATAACCCTTGTGGAAACATGAGTTTTATCACCGCTTGGACCCACTTTGGCCAAGCCAAAGTCAGACAGCTTTGGATGGTAGCCATCACTGAGCAAGATGTTTGAACATTTCAGATCGCGGTATATGACAGGAGGCTGCATTCTGTCATGCAAATATTCTAAGCCCCTCGCTGCCCCGGCCGCTATTTTCATGCGGATGTTCCAATCAAGTGGGCTTCGACCAGGAGGGAGATCTGAACCAAGCAATGAATAAAACGAGTTAAATAATCAGAACGAATGGATACACAATCAATAATGGGGGACAGGGAGAAACACTGGATCATAAACGGCAGACAGGGAGAAACTTTAACACCAAATGATGCATTTACGACAAATAACCCAGAAAAGGAAAGTTGTATTCTAGTCTATCCCTCAAGAGCGAGGAGGGCTAGTGCTAACCTTCGGTTGAAAGGTAATGAACACTATCCTACACCACACACACGATCATCCAATTAGTGGGGCAGGCTACGGATCGAACCCTTTCCTCCTTTTAACCTGTCCCACTCAACCGACCAATCAAAACCCAAAATTCACATAGAAACCATGATATCGAATGATACTTTGCCGGTTCATCAGGGCATGTGGCTCGTTGCTTCTGTAATATGCATATGAATTACGGAGAACAATTGAGTTCAGGATACAACATACCATGCAGATGATTTTCCAGAGATCCCAAAGGCATGTACTCGTAAACCAATAGTCTTTGATCACCCTCAGCACAAAACCCGATTAGCTTCACGAGATTCGGGTGGTCAGCCAGACTTAATGTCAACACTTCAACCACGAATTCCCTGATTCCTTGAAGCCCATTCCGGTCAAGTTGCTTGATAGCAACAACCTATCAGCAAACCAATTAGCCAAACCCATCAAAAATCGCTGGATAACCACAGCACAGACTCATTGATCAAAGAAACACAGGAAAGTTTCGCGCCATTTACACTTGCCTGATTAATTTTCTCGAGGAAACCCTTGTAAACTTTACCGAAACCTCCTTCGCCCAAGAAGCAATCAGACCTGAAGTTTCCCGTAGCAGAAGCGAGTTCTTCAAAGGTAAAAGTCTGCGCCTTTTTAACATTGCTGTTCCCATTCTCTGTAACTTCATCTCTTAAATTCAAACCCTTCACGTCCAAAGCCAATTGATCCTCCTCAGCTTCTCCTTCTTTCACATCTCGATATGGACTGACTTTAGTCGAATCTACAAACACATCAAGAGATACACAAACTTATGTAGCGATGGAACAACTTCGAAATGAAACGGTCAAACTTTGGAACAATTACTGATCAGTGTTAGCTTTTGTTTTTAACATTAAGTAGATATGGGTCACACTCACACAAGGCAATGAGAATGCGAGTGACAATCAAAGCTTTAACTGGATTAAAATCAGACACAAACCCTAAGCGCATAAAAGGAATGGAAGAAGCTAAGACGGAATCAGTTTCTATCGCGGAGAGAAAAATATTGAAGACGAGTAGCACACATGCATCAGAATTTTCCGGGGAAATCGCAGGTATTTCCCTGGAAAACGAATTACCAGAAACACAGAGTAATTTCTTACATGGACTAGCTCTCGCAATGTAACAGCTACACATAATACCCCCATCAACAAGAAACCCGATCAAGATTACTCAAAAAATCCAGTAAACATCAATACCTAATCAAGAAAAAAACGGAACAAAAGCACCACAAGCAACGATTTTGGCCGAAATCACCCGTTACCTGAACTGGGTTGTGTCTGATCGTCACGCTTTTCGATTTTACCGATATTGTTACCACCGACTGTGTTCCTGTTCTTGCTCGTACCGCTATTGTTCCTGTTGTTGCTCTCCGATCGTTTGCTCGGTTTCCCAGAGCATCCAAAACAACCCATCACGATCTCACAAAAATTGATGGAAAAAATCTGGGTGTCCCCTTTTTTTCCTCTTTGGCAAAAAAAAAGAATATCAGAATACCCAAACAAACCCAACACTGAGAATCGAAGGAAAATGATAAATTTCTTTCCTGAAGAAAGGAGAAAGAAAGAGTTGTCGAAAAGAAAAAGAAAAAGAAGACGGAGAGAGAGAGAGAGAGAGAGAGAGAGAGAGAGAGAGAGAGAGCTAGTGAGGGAGCTTGATTTCTTCGCGTTTTTTATATTGCATTAGTTAATAATTTTTTAATATTAATGTAAAAGTTATCTTCTACGACAAGGTTCACCGTATAATCGCTATCTGTGTTCATTCACAATACGCCACGTCAAATCAAATGCCTATCTTTTGTCGTCTTCTTCAGCACGAGAGAAGCGTACGGCTACTGTTCCAGTATCGAATCACGGGTCGCCACGTCAGAACGTAACAGTGCCCGTCGGTCAACGTTTACTCCTGCTTCCACCGTTGGAAACTATCGCCGGCGGGTTGACGTGGCGTATTGTGATTGGTCGACCCGGATTGGCTTTGCCGTTAGTCAATACACCTGATTTCTGTCCTATCATAGGGTAGGAGTATACTATATTAAATTTCATTAAACATATATTAAAAATGCAATCAACTAGTGTAATTGAATACGAGCCATTTATATTTCCAATAAACGTATACGCAATTTTCAAATGTACAGCGACTTATACTTGAATCGACCAAACTTTAAAATATTGCGTTAATTTCAACGCAATTAATAGGAAGATATTTGAATTTTATTTTAAATTTTCATAATAAATAGTGTTGGGTTTTCGAGGGATGATAAGTGTTTTGGTCGTTGTCATGAGGCGGTGACGTAGGCATCGACGACGGCCAATTAATCACCGGCGAATTTTCGTAAGAAAAAAAAAAGGCGAAGGTTAAAAAAACATATGACGTCACCCATAGGTCCCACTTTTTTAAACTCCACGCGCTTTTTATTTCGGGGAGTTATGTTCGAACGTTGATCCACGCGTTTCAGCAGGGCCCAGTCATGACGGATATTTAAGTCAAACAAGGATATGATGCCACGTGTATATTAAATAAATGCCAGACGCACGGTAATTAATTCTCTCCCGTTCATTTTTTTTTATCTAACAAACACAAAATCACAGTGATTTTTTTTTAATTCTACAGTATAATAGGAATGATTTGCGGAAACATGAATTGGTTTAAGTAGCTAAATCCTAAATCATAAAACAAATGGTTTAGCAACTCGAATCAATGTTTTTTATTAAATATGATCTCATATAATGCTTTAGATTTTTTATTTTGCCAAAGTTTAAATTTTGTTTGTAATTTTTTTTTACACAATTAAGAAAATAGATATCAACTCACTCTCTCTTATCCACGAAATTAAATGATTCGAATGCATTATTTGAAATATAATTGTTAGGATTGTGTCTTAACTCGTTAGTGGTTAGGATTTTTTTCATTTAAATATAAAATAATTTATTTGTTTCGTGTGACCAGACACGGTACGTTTTGCCATGAACAGAGGAATGGCTGCAAAAAAAAGGTGCAAATTATATGTAACGCATGCAATCCATCACTAATTGGCTCGAAGTTATCCAATTTGTTTTGTATCTTATCTGATTTAAATTTGAATTTTAAGATCTTATAAAAACATTATCTATATTTACGAAGATTACAAAAAAGTTTTCCAATTTTTTTATGAATTGCAAAATTAACTTTGACTTTGTAAAAAGTTCATAAAAATAATCTTAAACGTTATCCGAATATTTTTTAGATATTCAAAAGTTTTTAGTTAGACGTGTTCACTGGATAGATGTTGTACATTTTTTTAAATAATAAATTCACATATCAAAACTTAAACTATGTAAATGATATTGACTATTTGGTCAAATGAATTTTGTTTATTATCCACCATATGAATAGAAATAATGTGTCCATTTTCTATTGGGTTGAAATAAATATAAGAAAATAATAAATATATCATAACAGAAGCAGAAATTGTGCCAAATAAGGTCATCCATGACTATGGTCGGTCCATCAAAATGTAACAATAAAGATCACACCATGATTTCATGTGGAAAGTTCCATACAATTTTAATCCCCAAAATGCAAATGATTTCGTTTTGGATTTGGGCTAAATGGGCTTCTCTTAAAGCCCAATATTAACCCTAGAAATATATTCAGCGTGTCTATAAAACCACATTGCCCTAATTTCCACTTCCGCCTCCGGGAATTTCTTCTGCGATTCTCTTCAGCCGGCGATAATGTCGAAGCGAGGTCAGCTCATCTCCCTTCTCTATCTTCTTGGCCTCTTCGTTTCCCGTAGAGTCAGTTCTATATGTTGGATATGAGTAACCGAGAAGAAGTTAAATTGTGATTGTGGTTTTGTCTGGATTTAGATTCACGTTCTGTGTTAAAAGATGATATGTTTTGCTTAATGTTTCAAAGTTTTTCGAGGACTCTGCAATGGCGATTTTACAGAAATTGAGTTCACTGAGTGAAGTTATTGCAGTGTGTAGTTGTATTCCGTTTGTGTAGTTGGAGATCGTATGTGATACTGTCGGTAAATCTAATAATTTGTAAGTAAATCTTCTGGATCTATGATATCGGACGCATCTCAGTTAGGTATGTTTCTGATTTGTGTAGGACGAGGAGGAACGTCGGGCAACAAGTTCAGGATGTCACTGGGTCTGCCGGTGGCAGCCACAGTGAACTGTGCCGACAACACAGGTGCTAAGAACCTTTACATCATTTCGGTGAAAGGTATAAAGGGTCGCCTGAATCGTTTGCCTTCTGCTTGTGTCGGAGACATGGTCATGGCCACAGTCAAGAAGGGTAAGCCTGACCTCAGGAAGAAGGTTCTTCCCGCCGTCATTGTTAGGCAGCGTAAGCCGTGGCGCCGAAAGGACGGTGTCTACATGTACTTCGAGGGTACGTCTCCTGGTCGTGTCCTTGTGCATTGTTTTCTTTACTTGGCTTGTGATTTGTGTGGTATTGATTCCTCCAGACTTTTAGTCAGGTGTCCACCTAGATATTCAAAATAGGTCGATACCGTTACAAGTCTGGCAAATGAATTGTGTTCATCGTTACAGATGCTATAATGCTCTTGATGCTTGCCTCTGCTCCATTCGAACACCAAATATATCAGAATGAAGGAAAATTTTGATGTGATGCTTGGTCACTCAGAATTTAGTGCATAATTTGAAACCTATTTTCTGATTGGCTATGTACTTTCAATTGCAATTTGCAGACAATGCAGGAGTTATAGTAAACCCCAAGGGAGAAATGAAAGGTAACATACAAATCATAGCTATTTCTTGGGTTCATATATAACCCTTTAGTCCCAAGTTCTCGAGCTCTTTGAATCTTGGAAGTTGACCAGAAATGAATGTGATGCTTCTGATAGGTTCTGCCATTACTGGACCCATTGGAAAAGAGTGTGCCGACCTTTGGCCGAGGATTGCAAGTGCCGCCAATGCCATCGTTTGAGATTAAAGATAGAAACCCATCTTTCTTTAGAAGGGATAGAAGTAGTCGAATGCAACTCTTGTTATTTTGGCTTCAGGATCTTGAGTTATGGTTTCATTGTGGTTGCAAGTTTTTGTGTTCGTATCTTATAAATGGATTCGGGTGACAGATTCTATGCTATTTATGGTTTACCCATTTAATTAACCGGTCTATCCTGTTTAGTTGCTTCAGCCTTCAGGTAGTCTGTTTTTAAGCTTATGATATCGAAGTAGGGGTGTAAAATTAGGGGTCTCGAAACCCGATTTGAGCCCGTTCTGAAAGTCTGATTTTTTCGGGCCAAGAAACTTTGGCCCGAAGTCCGCTATTTTTCGGGTTGGGCCGGGCTGGGCTTCGGGCCTCGGGCCCAAATTGACATCCCTATGTAAAATGGTCAGTCTAGTCCGACTTGTCCCGATCTGGAAAAATTTCAGTCCAGTCCAGTCTGTTTTTTAGCGAATCAAAAATAGATCAACCCAATCTAGATTATCTTAGCTGCGAGCCAAATGAATGAATCGGTCTGTGAGATAAATATATAAATTTTAAAAATAAAATTTTAATACTAAACAAATATTTAAAAATAATTTTAATATTTAAAATATTTTTATAATATCTAAAATACTAAAAAAATTAAAATTTTAAATAAAATAAACTAAATGTGTAACAAAAATATAATTTGTATATATAAAAATTTAAAATTTTAAAAAAATAAATAAATATTTTTTCTAGTCCGTTAGTCAGTGACGGGTTGGCTCGTCACGAGTCCGTCTCATGACGGGCTGGTTTGTGTGGCCCTTTTTTCTGTGAACTCAAAATATTTGAGTCCGGCTCGAAAAAATATGGATTTACTCGTGAGTTAACCTGTGAGCCGCGCTCATTTTGCATCCCTATATCGAAGGCGTCGTGGGGTCATGTCAAAAGAGAGTTATTATGTCAATCCAATGAGAATTGTGGAATTCTCGTACAGTTCATGATTCGTTAATGCCAACTTATTTAATTTAGCACCAGGAATTTCAAATTTGTGTATATTCCAAACATTGTTCCGCTGTCCATTTACGTCATTTTTATTGTCAAAGACGTTTTGCGGTTTCTGTTCATCGGTGGATGTGTTTTGCCGTTCGTTTTCCCTCGTCTTTTCATCCTGGTGTTGTCGAGTTGGTCATAACATATAGGCTTAGTAATAATTACGTCGCGGAATGTCCCGGCCCCATCCCACTTATTAAAGTATCTTTAGCAAATTGTAAATAATCATTTCCTATTATTCTAATTTAATATAATTAAGAAACCATTATATACACATATGTATGTATGTATGTATGTATGTATGTATGTATGTATGTATGTATGTATGTATGTATGTATGTATGTATGTATGTATGTATGTATGTATGTATGTATGTATCTATGTATGTATGTATGTATGTATGTATGTATGTATGTATGTATGTATGTATGTATGTATGTATGTATCGTGAAAGCATCGACAACCAAGAGACTGCTCCTTGAACATGTCCACGTACAAATGTAACCATGAACTACCATTTTAATTTAATATCGTATTTCCTCTTAATTAGCTTGGCATATGGAACCAATCATCACAGAAACAAAGAGGTAATATAGCCAGAAGGAATAATGATATATATTCATATCTAAAGGACAAAACAACCATATGACCAAAACAATCATAATATGGGGAAGAGAACCTCATCTTCCTCACACACACACATATATATATGTCTGTGTCCTATTTGCCAACAAAAATTTCGCTCTCAATGAACCAATCCCGGGTTCATACATAATAAAACACATTCAAAGGCTCAGTCTCTTCTCCTTAAGCGTTGTGCTTTGGAGGGTTCTAAGCAATTGTTTTATTCCACTCGAGGAATGTACCAATAGACTTCATTGTATCGTCTTCTATACCATTCCATGACCATATTCATCTTTCTCATATTTACTAGAACTCTTTATCGAAAAAAAAAGAGCAAACCCTGCTCCCTCGCGGAGATTTTGGATCATAATGCAGTGGAGAAGAGAAGATTGCGTGAAAGATTACTTGTTATCGGTTGTTGCATTGAGATTGTTGAGGAGTGAAGACTCCTTCCAGACAAGCTCTTTGATGTCTTGTTCGTCCAAGTTTGTCTGCTCAAAGTCGAAGTTGAAAGGAGACGGGCACGTAGGTTCTTCATTGATCTCGTGGAGACTGGCCATGTATGGATGGTTCAGTGCTTCCTCCACTTCACATTCACATCATGTTAGAAAAACTGTATGTACTGATTAGAACGGACTAAAAGGCTTTGTTAACCGAAGTAACACCAAAATCCGACATCGATAGAATCTGGCCCTTCTCAAAATGCTAGTGTTTGATTTCCAGTTTCACATTTGTTAGGACTACTGCCTATATATGTCTGGTCTCTCTGGTTGATATCCTAGATTGTGCTACTTGTAATGGGCTCCAAAATAATTCAATTGAGTTCCAATAGGATTTCAATGGAAATAACGATTCTCCTATTAAACAAGAATGAAACAAGAAGCAGAGGGTGCACCTGTGATGCGTTTGGAAGGATCGAAAACTAGCATCTTCTCAGCAAGATCAAGAGCAACTGGAGATATGTCTGGGAATTTTTGTCTGAATGACTGCTTCGGGACACGTGGAAGTTGTTTCATGTACTTCCGGGCATTGTCGCTTCTCAGAAAGCCGAGCTCAGGTTCTTCTGGTGAACCCAGTAGCTGTTTCCAAAGACAAATAAACACAAATATTTACAAAATCACAGAACTCAATCCGGTTATTGAAGCAACAAGCTTGTACCATTTTATAGAATACGCCAATTTTCGATCTGCCTGGAATCCTTCCAGGGTAAATACTTGATTTTGATCATTAGGAACACAATGATTTTTAGATATGATCATGATTCTCGCAACAACATGTTGCATATGTTGTGAACGTGGAGTGGTAAATGATCGATTAGATTCGAGTTTCTTCGTATATTACCTCAGTTATAAGTCTCAGCTGTTGAACATAGTCTTTACCGGGAAAAAGCGTCTCTCTTCTGAGTATCTCCATGAAAATGCAACCAACAGACCAGATGTCAATAGCGGCTGTGTACTCCGAGCAGTTGAGCAGCAACTCGGGTGCTCGGTACCATCGTGTCACAACATATTCAGTCATTAAATCTGTCTCTGTTGACGTCCTTGCAAGCCCGAAATCACAAATTTTGAGATCACAGTTCGAATCTAAGAGCAAATTGCTCGGTTTTAAGTCCCTGTGAAGTACATTTGCTGAGTGAATGTACTTCAGACCTCGTAGAATTTGGTACAGGAAGAACTGGGAAAAATAAAATGATCAAATTGTGAGACAAAGAAGGGTAATGTGATTCGGTATAATGATGAACCATAGCATAAGAACATTCTTGGCTGATATTAAGCACCGATCATCAGTTCAGCTTGTGCTATTAGACTAGAATTGAGATTTTGAGAAAGTTTGCATGTGCTGACCTGATAATGATCATCGGTTAGAGCTTGGCTTGAGCGTATGATCTGATGCAGATCAGTGTCCATCAATTCATAAACGATGTAGACATCATCGAACCTGTCCTTCTCTGGTGGTGGTATTATGTCCTTGATTTTGATTATCTGCAACAGCAGTGTAACAATGACTTTCGGCTTTCGTGCTGTACGAACCCATTGACGGGTTTTGACAGAGGAAAAACAAGAAAATGGGACATCAAGAGAAGTACATTGTCGTGATCCAAGTGAAGGAGGAGTTTGATCTCCCGGAGAGTTCTCTTAGCATCAATCCTGTTTTCAAAAGCATTCGCTATCTTCTTTATAGCAACCTCTTCTTTGGTCTCCGAGTTTGTGGCACAACTGAAATTGGACAGTTTTCAACGTTTACAACAACAACATTAAAAAAAAAAAACAAGAAGATCGATGATTATGAGAAACTTACCATACAATACCGTAGGCGCCACGGCCAACAGGCTGTATAGGAGGAATGTACTTGGAAGTGACCGTGAAAATGTTACCTAGAACATCGTACATGATATATTTCCCATCATACATTGGGATTCCTCCATTTCTTATGTTCTCCATCTCCATTGTCAGTCTGCAACTTTTTTCTCTCGGCCTCTTTCTCCGTGGAAAATGCAGAGGAAGGTTGGGAAGAGAATCTTTGCTTCAAGAGAGAAGTTAGACTGTTTCATCTCAAGTTTTTGTTGCCTTTAAATGGCGAGGTGGGAAGGAGAGAGACAAAAAGATAGTACCTTTTGCTTTTGGTGGGCGAGATAAAGGCAAATGCTTTTGGCATTTGAACTTTGAAATTTGAATGAAGAGACTATTGAAGATTCAGCACCATTAGGAAAATTCAAAGGGGGAGAAAAAGAGAAGGAAAAAGGCTATCCTTATGGACCCATGAGTCCCAAGAGATGCACTATTTCCAGATACAACAACCACAAGATTTCACAGGCAGGTTTTCAAGGTTAAAATAACCTGCTCAGTGTGAGATCTATTTCCTCATGGAATGAAGGAAGATAAACATTAAAGTAAAGGCCTGCTGCAATATGAGAAGGACTTCAGAGGGGTCAGCAGGCATGTCGATGGACACCATTGCCGGGGGAAGAAGGAGGTTTTTCTCTAAGTCCTAGTCTAATTGAATAATATAAGAGCAACAGCTGGAGATAGTAAACGATGAGAAGACACACTTGAAGAATCATTTTTGCAGCTGAAGTGACGTACTGAATCTACTGATCACCAGGCCCGGAGATCCTCTCAACCTCATAAATTAGTAGAAAGTCATAACCTGGTTATAATGAACGGCCAAAATCAAAGTTCCAGGTAGAGAAAATAACAAGCTGAGACCGTTGCTATACAACAAATCTCGCTCAGTAATATAAGGAACAGGTTTCAATCTTACAGTCAAAGGGCTAAATTGCATAAGCTTGGAAGTTGGAAGTTTCAGAGACTCAGTCCCACATGCCATGGCCTAATTCGTCAAATGGGTTCATCGATTCCCGTTCCCGTTCTTCAAACCCTGCAAAAAATGGAGTATACATACTAAGTGCAATCAGGTGCTCTAATAATTCAGTCTTGTCCTGAAATTACATACCTAAAACTAAGCTGTCTTAGAACAACAAAAAAGAAACACAATTTCATCAGCTGTTTTCGAAAATGTAATCGAAAACACTTACTTTCTACAAACTTCCTGGGAGAATTTCTACGCGATTTAATCACATTTTACTGTCTAGTTGCGCAACTATGATCCAGACTCCATATGCGCGTTCAATCACTCCATCCACTACTTGGTGGTAGAAAATCTTCCATCAAATCGTCCCAAACTCATATCCCGATTGCTTCAATCCAATCAAAGAGCAATGACGGCAGAAACCGAAGAAAAACGGTTGAAGACAAAGAATCTCCATGGAAATGTGCAATCGATGCATAGGCAGGCACAAAATCAGCGAAGACATCGACAGAAACAAACAGAGAGAGTGAAAGGTTTACCTCCGGCGACGGCGGAGGAAGGGGATTCAACGGAGGACTGTTCGAGTTTTGCAATTGCTTAAATTTGCATTTAATATTGTTGCTTTTTTGCTTTTACTGGTTTTCTTTTCTCATAGATTGATTTTTTTAAGAAACGATGCATTTAAAACAAAATCGATACACTTTTAAACAAATTGTTTAAAATTTTAAAATTGTTCAGAAAATCAGGATTACAATTTTAGTTTAATAATTTTAATTAAATGAGTCAATCTAAAATAATAAAACTATTAAATAAGCATATTTTTGTTGAGTTGAAAAAAATAGAAATCTATGTTAAAAGTATCTTTTAATAAAAATTAAAATATAATATAGTTTTCACATTTACATGAAATGATTTGTTTTGTCACACGGTGTTCGTGTTAAAATATAGTTTCCGTTTTGGAATGTCATATCGTATCGTATGTTTACTTTTGTTGAGAAAAAAAATGTAGCAAACTAAAAAAGCCACGTGGGCTCCGTATCGCACTTTTTAGATTTTTGCCTAACAAGTCCAATCAAGCGCACCAAAAACGAAAAGCAACCAAAAATAATAAAATGAAATATTATTTATGCTCAATTCCGCCATGGATAAGGATCAAAGATCTGACCCAAAATCTACGGATGATAATATTTTATTCAAATGTCCAATGGCTTTTATTTTAAAAGAAATAGCCAATGGTTTTGTAACGTCATAATTTCAGTAGCTAACTTCGCCGTGTAATCTCGTAAGCCTCATGTTTTCGAATACAATTAATTATAATTTATAGTATTTGGACAATATCCCCGAAATCTAGCTCCACAACCCGCTTTGAATACCCAAATTCAGTTATTTATACAAAATAATCATAATAACAATGGTAAGTCTTAGAAAAAAAACGATGATTAGTTTGAAAATACACTCCAATATGTATGATCAAGCTTGTGTTTGTGTTCATTATAAAATGTTTGTAGATAGTCCATTATTGCAAACAATAACTCTTTTGTAATTCTATCAAATAAATAAAGTAGTTGATTGATACCCCCAATAAATTTTGATTAAGAGAAGGTGGTTGCACATAAAAAAATAAATATCCACAAATCATTTTCCCCCTTTTTACTTTTTTGTGGGGCAAATAAAAAAGGCCTTTTTTTATGTAATGTGAAAACTAATAATAAAAAACACTTTAGTTTATATTATGCATCGAATTTAAAGATACAACAATGCAAATACAATACCAAACAATCACACACAAAGAAAAACCAAACCCAACAACAACAAAAAAGAGACAAGAACCTCTCTCGGACCACATCGTTGTTTCCCTTTCTAAAACACGTGGAAGCAACAATTAGAGAGAGGGGTTTTGCTTAACATAACAAGCACTAATCATATGATTAGTGATTATAATATCCACATCGTTACTATTCCCGCGCTTTAACCCCCACGAAAAAAACCAAAAGCCAAAGCGGGCTTACAAACCAAAATAAAAAACCAACTTAAACCGGATATAACCAAGCTTCGTTCTGTTTCAAAAAAGACAGAACCGGTGGAGCTTGGAAGCGGATCTCAGACCAAACCCATGGCGGATGAGACGGTGGCAGTTTTCGTAATATTTTACCAATTTTCTTCAGATTCGAGCTTTCGAGGGGAGGATTAGTTGTTCTCCTCTGAGGTGTATCCGCTCGTCGGCGGAGTTGTGCAGGCAGAGGAAGCTCCGCCGCGGCCGCCGCCATCTTCTCCGATGACTCTGGCACGGGCTCTGCTGGCTCTCGCGGCGGCGGAAGCGATGGACCTGGCCAAGCCCAGGCAGATTTCTCGCTGTTCTCCTCTGAGGTGTATCCGCTCGTCGGCGGAGTTGTGCAGGCAGAGGAAGCTCCGCCGCGGCCGCCGCCATCTTCTCCGATGACTCTGGCACGGGCTCTGCTGGCTCTCGCGGCGGCGGAAGCGATGGACCTGGCCAAGCCGATGAAGATTTCTCGCTTGATCCTCCCTCGCTTCGGTGGGAGCTCAGTTTTCTTCGCCGGAAAAACAGAAGCAGGAGTCGCCATGGTTGTACGGACGAGTTTCCTGCAAGGAATTACAAGAGAACTGATTCAACAAAAAGAACGCAAGAATTATCTCACACAAAAAAATGTCGATGATGAATAATATTAATGCAAGATTTAAAAAAAATTGACGATTTCAAAATCAAGTAAACAGATGATCTATTGTTTGCAGAAAGAGAAATACAGATGAAGCGAGTGTTTCTTCTTTTTTTTACACAAATAAAATTGAAAAAGAAAAAAAAAGTTATAGTGAGAGAAGTATAAGCCGTGAGATCCTTATTTATAGGCCAGAGAGTAAATGATAATATTTTTTCATTTTAATTAATAAATTATGAGATTTATGAACTGAACCTAAGATATTACAACAAAAAAAAACAAAATATTGGCTCTTTACTAAAACCAAATAAACAAATATATTTTTATGGGGAAAAAAACATTTTACGAGACTCTCTGTCGAGTATGCATGCGTACTAGTGGAAGAATTATTTATTTGTTAAATAATGAAACATTTCATGAATGACGAAGAAAACAATTTTCTTCCAACTATATACGATCAGGGACGAAGTCTTGTGATAACCGTGTGGAAAGAAAATAACGCGATTAACTACGAATTTATTAATTTCAATTTCAATTTCTTGCTAAAAGATTCTTCAAATTGTTCTCCCGATATTTAGTTGTTTGGTTATTATAATGCGGTCATATAAATATTCCAATGGAAAAGTTCACGCTTGAACCATATGCAAAGTGTGATGTTTTTTGAAACATTAATTTCCAATTTTATTTGTTTAGGAACATTAATTTAGTTAACTCCACACGTCTACGGTATTTGACGATTTTTTTTGGCGTATGTTTTGCTTCTAGAGAGAGAGGAGTTGACGAGCTACTTCGACGGTGGAGCCACGCAGATTCCAAGTCATTTCGAGTTAGATGGTTAACTTCTCACAAATTTCTCATATATATAATATATATATATATATGTTGGTACATAATAGACGAAAAATCAAATAATAAAAAATGCTAATATTTTATTGCATTTGTTGCACATATCATGGGATTAGAGTCCGACCAGATTTCTAAATGGATTTCGATGGTGTTCGTTGTTACTTTGTCTACGTGTCAGCCAAAAAAAAATGAATAATGAAAAAAATATTGGTGTCGGGTGAGTAAGCCGAATCTTGGTTTTTGTTATTTGGCAAAATGTCTGTATCTGCTTTCAGATAAAGACGAACACTGTTGATCGCTTGCAGACCAAGACGCTAACTCAACTCCCAATAATAATAATAATAATAATAATAATAATAATAATAATAATAATAATAATAAACAAAAATGTGAAGTACACCAAGAAGGCATTTAAATCTGGTCCACCGACCTTCGTTATTGCGGTAGACCGGCCGTTTACCATAACGCATATTGACTTTGTAGTCTGGAACGAAATACATTTGCATGATATACGATAAAATAATCGAATCATTATATAATTTCATAATTTAGGTTAACATACAGTGATATTACTATTCACGAGATGATAACATCACAATTATATACATATATATATATAAATTAATACATACAGGTATATCGTATTATCCAGATGTTAAGGTAAACGGAAATTATTTATTAAAAAAAAAAGCAAAAGGGAATATGTGTAGGAATGTTCCCAAATTCCATAGCCGCCATAATCGCCACGTCAGAAACTAATTTAATATTTTATTTTATTGTGTTCGTTTAATTAATCGGGACCGTTGATGTTCCCTCAGGTTCGAGAGGAGATCCAACGGCGGAGACAAAACATCACCATGATCATGGGATCATCGGACACTTTTGCGTACTTTGGTGTTATTCCATGACGTCCATTCTTCCTCTCTCTCTCTCTTTTTTTTTTTTAATTTAGATTTTAAATTGATAAAGGCCAAAAGTGCTGAGAAAAGCTGTATAAAATAATGATTGAGGTATATCTAGCTGGACCGAACTTTCGTGGAAAAAAAATAATTATTTGACAAATAAGGAATATGAGATTTAATCTGGATAATTGATGGATTGAAAAAGGAATAAATGTGACGCATGCATATAATTTTTATTTATATAGTTTTAAAATAAACGTCGAAATCGATAGCATCAGTTGCTTAAACGACAGGATCGCTCGGATTCCGGCAGTCCCGCTCCATGAACAATGACCCGTTCCCACGTTTGCAGATCATGTATATATTTTGGAAAAACCCCATTTAAATACCTCAATTTTATAAAATATTCTAAATAAATATCTAAAATTTTAAATTTATCTAATTGATCAAACGTTAAAATGTTCTAAAGTGATATCTCATTAGTCCAGATTTCTTCATAACTATTAAGTATTGTTGCAATCGAAATTCAATTCGTGTCCAGATATACCAAATATACGCATAATTTACTTATTTTGTGTCATTTATCTTCATAATTAATGGTTTATTTATATTTTGTGAAAAAAGGTTATTTTAATACTTAAAAAAAGGGTTGCAAATGGATAACCAATTTAAATGGGCTTGAGCCCACTAAGCGCAAAACCGGCTTGAGCCCAAAACCGATGTGGTGGAGCGATAGTTTTTAGGATTTCCAAGCGGGCGGGAAAAAGAATACGGCGATTGTTGAGAGAGAGAGAGAGAGAGAGAGAGAGAGAGAGAGAGAGAGAGACCTCGCCATCACCTCGCCGGAGAGGGTTGCCGGATCTCGGTGGAAGGAGAATCCTTACGCTGGAGGCGGGTATAGCTAACGAGTTCATTGTGGATATGGGGTTTCACCAACCGAATTGCTAACATTTTCGCGGCTCGAGACATCGTCACCGCAAAGGTATCATCAGCGACCTCGGTCTATGCGTGATTCGTGTACTGCCGTGTTCAATGGTAAAACATAATTTTTTATTTTTTGATAAATGAAACATAAATTAGACATAGCTTTACCGACGATTTGATCCATATATCATCTGCAATTCTCCGTGGATTTGATGTTTCGAAGGCATCATTTTGGTAGAGGAGACCTTCTGCTGCAACATGGATTCCATTTCTTGCATAAATGTTTCTATATCGAAGACTAGAGCTTCCGTTTTGTAGAAATTCTTCTACTGTAAGCTCGAAAGTTTAATGGTGATCCTCAACGGAAATTTTGTCAATTGCCCCTTGGATTTACTCTTGATCCAGGACGCATTGTCACTGACGGAATTCAAGCTGATGGAGTTGCTGATTGTCGGATTGGTAGAGTGGGTTGCTCTCATCACTGAATCCAATTCTCCGCAGGGCCAGTGTGTGTAAGCTCTTTCCCTTTTGTCTTTTCTTCTTAATTATGCTAAATATGGTATGAGACACGCTATCTATTTGCTTCAAGGCTCGGTTGCTGCCGGAGCCAAATCTTGCAAATGAACACTTATCAGATCATCTTCCTACCCGTTTGAACGGGCTGGACGCAGCCGTATATGGTGGAATACCTTGTAGTGTTCTAACAGAGTTACTTGATTCTTACCCTCATTGTATATCTTACATTTTCTGGACTGATGTTATGTGGAGAGGGGCAATTGAAACTTTTCTCAGGATGATTGAGATTGGACTGAAAACTTTCCCCAAAGTATTTCACCTTAAAGAAATGGCTCAAGAGGTTGCGGCACGGTTATAATCTTATTCCTTATCATCTATCAGTATCTTTTATTTGCAAAAACTCTTCTCATTGTTCACATCTCTTAGCTATCCCTCCGCAGAGCAGATGACGGGAAGAATTCTTGTTTTGCGACTGATTTCACTGAAAAGCCTGTAAGATATTACCCAGTGTTTTGTTAGTCAGTAAATATTGAAGTGCCCTATTAGATGATTTTTGTTGGTCTAAAGAAACAGGCCTTCAATTTGGTCCATGGCAATTAAATTTCAGTGACCAGCCTTGAATAATTTTTTTATTATATGCCATATATTGGCATCAATAGATGCATGAGGAATTAGCAATGTTTAGCTTAGAACTATCTCCATGCTGTAGTTATACACATTTTCTTTAAGACCAGTATGCACGAACTCCTGTTTTCACTCCTTCAAAACCAAAGAAAGCTTTTAGTGAGGTGATTGATAGTATGACTTGTCTTTCTTCCTGCTCCAATTTTTTTTGCATGCTTGTTTCTCATGCTGACATTAGATTCATTAGTTACAAGGTCTCTTTTTGAGCTTTTAATCTTCTGATTGAAGCGGCTTCTTTTCAGTGAAATCAAGCCGAGAGCTTGGAGACAGCATCAGTTGGGTTGGCATATCTCTTTCTTAAAATGTGAAGGCCAGCTTCTTGTCAGCTCTCTGTCAGAAAGTTATCTTGAGATCATCACTTTATATGTGTTCGGAGACAGCATTAAGTCGCCTGCTGAATTTCCTCGAATACCTATTGTGGTGAGAAACCAAATTAGATCTCGGAACCGTGATGAAAACTAGCAAGTATTCTTTCCAAGGTAGACTCACAGACATAGAAACATCTGCTGGTACAATCAATGGGGAACATTCTCAATGCCCATTTAGGATGATCAAATTTGCCAGCTCAACAGAAAGATAGAATTCAGGATGATGCTCATCTTATCGTCGCATTGGAGGTTAACTGGGCGCATGCCATAACCATCCGGCTGGTTCTTGAAGCCAATTCGGGTAAATGTCACACATGTATGAAAAGAAAGTTGGTTTTCCGCAGTGACAATGATAATCACATGGGTCCACATTCATCCTTTCTGTCGCATTTGACCGTCTTGTGTCCATGAGGGTTAATCACAGAGATTATACACAAACGCTTTTCATGATTGTGAAGTCTCCTCCTACATTATCTTGCCTTAACATAAGATGGGCTTTCGTTGCTGAGTGATGAAGGAGCAGGGCTGAAAGGACAGGAGATTTTACCTCAGATTCATGCTCGAGGTGCGTTTTTTTGTTTTTGTTTTGTTTTTGCCTTTACATCTAGACAGAATTCTTTCTTGTTCACGCTTCTGTACAACTAGAGTCGGTTTGGGACTAATGCATCTGGCATTAGTTCATAGCAAAAGTTGCAGGCTGTGAATTTGATTTAAACCTCACCAAAAAAAAAAAAATCAGCCACAGGCATTTTCACGAGAAAAAAAAGCTTAACGAGAGACAAAATTCAAGAAGACAGAGCTTGTAATGATGCCAAGTAAGTCTCTTCTTCATTGAAGTTTGATTACAAAGTTTTACAGTTCAACCATTGACTTCCACATCCATATGCACATTCCCCCTTGCATTTATAAATGTGCGTGTGCGTGTGTAGAAAATGTCATCGTTGTTGCGTTGGAATTTTAATGAAACAAACAGAACCCGTCTTAAATGTTTGAAATTTGATATATTGGGTCGGTTTAGGGCAAAATCTTTTAAAGTGTTGTTATATTTTGTCAAATTGTACGGCGCAAACTTTTTTTATATATATATATTCGAGTATTTTTATGGGGTTTAAAACTATGGAAAGCATGGCCATATTTGTATTGTCCTTGTCTCCTTTTTTTGCCTCTTGACAGGTCAAAGTTGGTTTCCTTTTTCCTTCTTTCATGTTTTTTTTAAACCTCGACTCTCTCTTTCCTTTCCTCTTTAGATTTTTATAATTTATTTTGTTTCTTCAATTATTTTGGTGTTATTTGGTTTCCTTTTATAATTTTATACCTAAAATATACCTAATGCTAAATAATCTTTACAACGCAAGGAAATCGTTGCTTGTGGTTTTCCGGTTAATGATCTTTTTAAAATATATATATATATATATATATATATATATATATATGTTTTTACAATTCAATGAAAATATTTAGAAAAGGAAGTCAAAAGGAAAGGAGATTTTTTTTATGTTTGTTTTTTCTATTTATTATTTTTCTATTCAGAGAAAAATCAAGCTATCGTTTTCTAGGAGTTGTTGGCTGGCCTTGGTTTAATTCATTTGATAATACGGCCTTACTCTCAAAAGCCCAAAAAACGAATATGTAAAAGAAAGAAAATGTGGGTATTAATCTAATAACCGGATTATGTTCTCATCAACTAAATTGGCGACGCCCTTTTTTGGTTCATAATATTGTGGTCCACTTTATATACATATATAGCAATGAACAATGCATAAAATACACACATGACCTGAACGTGTTAGATGTGAACGTGTTAGAGTTGCCTTTTCTTATAGGGGGGGGGGGGGG